TGCAGGCATCATGGAAACCTTTAGCACAACACCTCCATCCTTCCCCTGGCCCCATGGTGAGCATGGGTGGCTGTTGCCCTTTCTCGCAGCCCCTGGCAGAGCCAGCTCCGTTTCGGTGTCCTTTCCTACCATGTGTCACCCTGGCCACTGGCAGGCTGGAGAGAAAACACCTCGTGTTTCATCCCCACGGCAGCTGGAGCATGCCATTCATTTCTCATCCCCGTGCGATATCTCACCTCTCTGCAAAACAAGCCTTCCTCCGTGCCGGTGAGCAATGGGAGGAGGAAGAGGAGGAGATGACAACTGTGCGTCCAAATTCCCCCCACTGCTCTGCCTGTGTGCGTGATGTCTGTGCTTTGCCGCTCCAGCCTGCAGCTGGATGCCTGCCCCGTGTGTGAGCAGGAGCTGCTCCACGTGGGAGCTTCACTCCCTGTTTCACAGCTGCCTGCGAGGTACTGGTATTTTATTGTTGGCTTGCCAGGAGCAGGTCTTTGCTCACGTAGGAGCTACGGTGTGTGATGGCATGTCCAAGTGTGTGCCTTGGCCTGCTTGTGAAGGAAAAGTCTCCTCGCTGGGTCTGCAGCCTGCAGGAGCAACTTGGAGCAGTCAAGGGTTCAGGATGGGGGTGAGACCCAAGAGGAATGGGAGATGCCGTGCAAGAGGAGCTACGATGGGCTATCCCGTAACACCAGGCCTTGAAAAATCCCAGGGCTGCCAGGGACAGCTCAGAGCCGCTGCCTGAGCCCAGCAAGGCCAAAAAAGGCTCATCCATGGTGCCTTGTGTTGCAGTCTCAGCATATGGGTAAATTCAGGGGGTCCTCCTGGAGTTTTGGTCTGGGGATTTGATTAGCTAATACAAATCTGCCTTTTTCTAATTGTTATTACTATTTTTAATTGGAAGTGTTGTCCAGTTCTTGAGTTCCTGCCTTGGTTAGTAGGGATGTTCACTGATTGGGAATTTCTGCCTGAATGCAGACTTTGAATGGCGTCATCAAGAGCAGGTCCTGGGGCGCTTTGCTCCATGCAGCTCTGGTCACAAAACCCCAAGGCATTAACTTTGTTGGCAGGAACACGGTGTGTTGGTTTAGCTGGGGACATGCGGTAGCCACAGCCAGAGCGATCCAGCCCAGCACTGGGGAAGGAAGTCAGCGAGAAGGACAGAGCGTGAACAAAATCCCTCTCCGGAAAGGCGCCCCGTTAATCAGTCAGCAGGGCCGACTCAGCAGAGAGGGGAGGGAAGGGGAAGCAGAGAGGGGCTGAGGTGGTGCGTGGGGCTCAGAGGCAGGATCCGACACAGGGCTTCCTGCAAGTTGGAGCAGACGGAGAGCAGGAGCTGTGCCATGCCTGCACCTCCCCTTGCCCTTCCGTGGGTTTCCAAAGCCATCACTTGCTGCAGCAGGGTTGGCTGTGGTGCAGGCCTTGCTCCACAGTGATTTAGGCATCTGCAGCCATCGCAGTGGAAAACTCAGCATGTGCTCAGGGGTGGAAAGTGATGAGGGCAGGCACAAGGCTGGAGCAGCAGCCTGCAGGCCCCTAGGTCTTTGTGAAGCATCCTGGGGTGCGTAAAGCTTCCCAGGGGAGTGTTGGCTTCCCACCCAGGCATTGCAGAGCCCCAGGGCATGGGACATGGCTGTGCACCATGTGGACAGCCCTGCTGCCACACCGAGACCTGCAGTGGTTTTAGGGTGCAGAAAGAGGGGTGGAGGGGGCTGGAGAAAATGATGGAGCCAGTGGCGATAAGGAGAAGGTGCAGCCTGGCCCCTTTCAGAGCCGTGTGCTGAGAGATCAAGGCTAGGAAAACCGCTGGGAAACACGCTTCTCTGAAAATAGACAAGGTGTGAGTGGCTGTGGGATCCTGCTTCCTCTCCCCGCATCCCATCAATCCCCTTCTGTTTATTTTAATATCCTGCTGCCAACTTGCTTGGAAACCATCTTGAAAAAACAAAGCTTGCCGGGGCTGCCGCATGCCTTTTTAATTACATTAATGCTCTCCCCGCGCAAGGACGCATTTTGGTGTGCACGAGCAAGCCAGGTTTGCTCAGTGCTTTATCTAAAGCTTTGCCGGGGCTGGAGGTGGGGAAGGAGGGACTCAGAGGAGAGGGGACGCTCCATGCTCTGGAGACATCTCCTTCATGCCGTGGGATTTGCTGGAGACACAAACCATCTGTACATCGCTTAGCGGAGATTTAATGGCCCAGATCAGTGCTGGGGGGAGAGAGGCACAGGGGAGAGCCATGGTGGGGCAGTCACTCCCACGGAGAGGGAAGGGGCAGCAGGGGGATGGATACAGCTAGTAAGCACGGGGAGGGATGGAGACTGATTTTTGGGAAAGCTGATGGCTTTGAAGATGCTTTTGTAGTCTGCAGATGGCTCTGTGCATCCCTCGCCTTGGCTGGATGCTACAGGTGGCTATGGGCACTGTCACTGCAAGGTGCCAGCCCCAGTGTGGGGAGTCCTCAAAGCTGCCATCAGCCTGAGACCAGTGAAGGGGCAGGATGGCCACCAGGGCCAGCCTGGAGCTGGCCGCCAGCCGCAGGAGCGTCCCTAACCCTGCACCGCGGCGCTTTCGGAGCGAGCCGCGGTTCCTTTTCCTGTTGTACTTGTGGAGGGCCACAGACAGGATGCATCTGCAGGAATCCCACAGCCTCAACCTGCACAGATCGTAGTTTTTCTCTCTTCCCCTCCACCCCCCAGTGCTGTTTGCAGCAGGTCACCGAGCGGCACGTGAAGGGAGGCAGGGGGTCGCTTCCGCGGCCGTCCTGCCACCCCCAGCCCCAGCAGCAGTGCAGGCACTTGCACAGCATCAGCCAAGAGGCTCCTGCCACCGCTGCCCATGGGTTTAGTGGTTCAGGTGGTGCCAGGATTTGGGGATCAGCTTGCTGCTTGCTGCCCAGGGCACCAGACAGATGAGTGAGCTTGTTGGCCCTGGCCAGGCCCACGGTGAGCCCGGGTCTTTCCCCTGCTCGCTGGAGCAATGGACTCACAGGCTGTGGCCATCTGGAGAGCTGTGTTTGCACGGGGATAAGCGTGTCCGGCATTAATAGGAAACGCAGCTTAGCGGTCAGATTTCTCCCCGCCTTTTTTAATAAACCTCGTTACATTTTTGAAGGGATTTTACCAAAAATGCGCTCGTTTATTTTCACAGCCACAGGGCGCATTTTTGTCTGTGACATCCCCAGCCCTCCCTCAGGAAAGGGGAGGTGGAGGCGCGAGGCAGGGTGTCCTCCACGGGGGCTGCCAAGCGCCGCCGGCCCTACTCACTGGTTGAACACCGAGCAATGGCTGCTGCCATGGCTGACTCGTCAGTGAGACAGACGGTGTCTGTAGGACATGCCATGGGGACCCCATACAGGCAGAGGAGGGCCAGGGCAGCCACTGGGCTGACGCTGCCTCACGTGTACACAAGGGATGCCCCTGTGCCTGGCAGGAGATGGCGGCGGGGAGGGGGGGGAACATGGCCTGCTCCCCTCCGTTGCCATGGGGGCAGCCGCGGGGATGGCCGCTGCGGAGCCGCGTGAGGGCGGGAAGGAAATGGAGAACAATTGGGGAGAACAAGGCCGGCGGCCCCAGCCTGGCCATGCTGGCGGTGCTGCTCGGCACGTCCCTCTGTGTCCCCCTCAGCGGCCTCTCCCGGCAGCCCTGGCTCCTCACGCTGCCCCTCGAAGGCCTGGTGCCAGAGGGGCTGGCGGCCATTTGGTGTCCCTAGGAGCTGGGGGCAGGTTTGGAGCCTTCCCCGCAGGTGTGGCTCTGCTTTTTTGAGGCCTGTGTCCTCAGGCCATGGTTTCGAGGTGTCGTGTGGTGTTCCAGCTGGTTGTGAAACCCCTGGAAACATCGCGTGCCTGAGATCTCTGCCAGGTTTCTTTGTAATTGATAAATGGGTTTAAACGGTATGGAGGAAGGAGACAGACATGAGCAGAGCACGGTTGCAAAAACCTCACACTTCCATAGAAAATCAAGCTAGCAACAATTATTGCAATCTTTTCTTCATTAGCATTTAGCATCTACCTGAGTCGCACTTTCACATTTCACAACTCTTTTTTTTCCCTCTCTATTTCTGGTTAGCTTGCTTGCTTTTGCAGTCACTGTTTCTTTTCTTTTAAATTATCTTGTGTCTCCAGAAGCTGGAGTTTTAAGATAAAGATCATGAAGTAATGACGGTCAGAAGCACCATGCTAATGAAAAACAACGGGTACGTCTCTGAGAGTAACCGGTACTTCAAGATGTTTTGTCCATGAGGAGCTCACATAGGGTGCGTGTCTTGCATGCCGGAGATGCAAGCACACCAGAAGTGGGACTCTCCCAGACAAAAGCTGGGAGAAGAAGTGTGTGATAATGTTTATCTGCACATTCTGTAAGCCTGGATAATTTCACTCCTGAAATTCCTGTGGTGCAAAGGAAAGGGCACTGCTGTTATCCCCAAAGTTACAGTCCCCTCCAGGTGACTCCTGCCAGAGAAGGGTCTGCTGTTTCCTGAGAGCCTCTCTGTACAAATACAAGAGTTTTGTATTTGTGGTATCTGTGCAGGTGGATTTTTTTTGTCCCTCCTGGTTACAGCAAACTGCATATGTACAGAAAAATTGCCTTCAAGACTCTCTCTGGTTAGCAGATAGGATCATTTCAGAGTGCTAGTCCAAGTGAGCTCAGTCTAAGTCACCTGGTAAGAAACAACCAACACTGGACTCCCTGATTTCTGGTCTTCCATTCTTTTTCTGGCCCTCATCTGTGCTAGTCTATCTATCTGGACCCAGGAGCTGTCAGGCCCTGGCTTTGAAGATGTTTTTCATGAGCTGCTTGCTAGAACTAGGAGGGCTGCAAATGAATCACTTATGTCCCGGTGAGCTAGCATTAAATTATCTTGTAGGAGCAGCCTCGTAGGAGATATTTCCTTCAAGAGGCTTTGCTCCTGTCTGGGCTTGTGATGCCCAGCTAGCTGCTGCCCACAGTGGTGGGTCAAGACTAGCAGATGTTTGCATCATCCCTTTTCTCCTTTCTCTCCCCAGATCTGGTGAGCAGCTATTCTATGACCCCCCCTGCTCTTAGCATCACCGAGGAGGAACACGTCATCAACGCCAAGGACACGCTGACCATCACCTGCAGGTAAGCTGCAAACATACACGGCTCTGCCTAGGCTGCTCATACCTTGTAGGTGTTGGAGGACCAGGCAAGGAAAGCCCATCAGAGAGATTTAAGCTGCAGCATACCTGCAAATTAGCACGGCTGGCTAGAAATCTGCCACATTAACCCAGTGTGAATTCATCTAATTAATTAATTGAAAAAGAAGCTGAAGGTGTCTCAGAGGAGATGGTGATAACCTCTGCTGTAGTCTTGCAGACAGAAGGAAGATAGAGAAGCACTTGCATGATCTGACAGTTTCCTTGGAAGTTTTTTAGGGAAACTGGCTTCCTAACTCTTCTGGTCTTTTCTGTGACATTGCTTGCTCTCACCTCATCAGGGACTGCTAGGGTTGGAGTTCTGGTTTCTAAATCTGGCAGGTCATCTGGGGGACATGGAGAAACATCCTTGGGAGAAGGCAAAGCTACACTTAGTGGTTGCTGTGAGAGGCTGCCAACTTTTCTGGGATTTAATGCTTTGCGTTGTACACTCAGGGGTGAAGAGAAGCCCCAGCCAGGCCAGGTGAATATCTCTTTGAAAGGACCAGGAGAATCCCTGGTCACTTTGGAGCCTGCGGGTCTGAGGTGTTGTGTCTAAACTGATTTGTCCCATGCTGAGCATTTGGCTGTGTGCGGTCTCATTGCTACTTATCTTGAAAAGAACAAAAAAAAAAAAAAAAAAAAAAACCTGGGGGGTCAGTTCTTCTGACAAAGCTGGAGTTTCCCTCCAGCAGCTGAAAGTAGATCTCTGCCTGGGATCTGAGTGCTAGGGCCCAATGGGGGTATAAATTCAGCAGGGCCTCAAATGGGTATTTCTCGGTGTTATATATAACCACAGAGCAATTACTACAAACACTTGGCTTGTATTGTGTTCATGTCTTGTCACAAACATATTTAACTTTTCCTGGAACAGATGGCATTACTCTTACTTTGTGAATCCGTTCCTAACCAGGGAATAGGGACAGAGGAAAGACTGTTATGTCCATACTGAACTGACTCCACCTAGTCTGGGAAGCTAAGCATTCATGGGCTTGTTCATATGGTGGCCTGAGGAGGGTGACCTCTCTGATTCCCACAGAGCAGGGTGCCTGTTCATGCTGCCTGGTCGCTGCCCTAGCACACAAGGCCACGTCTGTTTCCCCCGTGTGCCATAGCCCCAGAGAGATATTGGCAGTCCTCTCAAGTTATACCTCACGTGTAGTACTAGATATAGGGACATCCCTGTGTGCAGCAGACTCAGCAAGGTGTGCCCAGGTTACCCAAGACACTTCTGGCCACCATCATCCACTGCACATTCATTGTGTGTATCATGTACAACGAAACACATCTGTGTTGTTAATGCAGCTTCAGGCAGGGAAGCCGAAGGATGACCTGTTGACACCCATAACAGGGACAGCCCTGTTGATTGCAGGTTGACCCAAGGCTAAAAAACATACTGAAGTTCAAGGTATTATTAGAGTGTCTTCCGCAGTCAGGCATGAACATACCTATCTAGCAGCCTGAATCGGAAAGCCTTTCTTTTCAGGTCACCCTCCTGGACTGGGAAGGACAAGATTGCCCTTTCCTTGTGCCCTTGTTAGGTATCAATTAGTGTGAAGGAAAATCCCACGAAGTGGAAAAAAAAAAATCCTTTTTTCCAGCACTGACTCTGCATGGCTTGCCCTTTCAGGGAACATCATACAAACTGCAGAGGCTGTCCAAGTGGCAGCAAGCTCCCCATTTCCTGCTGAAGTGCCAAGGTTTCTCTTTCAGGCTCAATAGGCAGCATCCACAGAGTGTGCTGGCATGGACACAGCTGAGATAAACAAGGAACATTCCTGCCCTTGGCTCACAGATGCTATGTGTGACTGAACTGGACATCTGAAGAGCAGCAGGGCCATCTGCAAACAGTACTAAAACCCACACACCCTCTGTCCATGTGCTCCCTGGCTGTCCCCGGCCTTTGCTATTCCAGATGTGCTCTTCTGGGGTTGTACAGTGTCCTTTACGCCATCCACAGGTGACAAGTCTCAGCACCTCCTGCACAGCTCAAAGGTTCCCCATCTCCCTGTGAGCCCTCAAGCCTGAATTTGTCTGATGTCTTGAGGAGAGGATTTTGCCTGTGGGACATAGTTACTTCATTTGAATGAAAGTAAATCTTTCCTGGTCCCTGGAACTCTAATTACACCCAGCTGCTACTCCAACCTCTTCTCTGGACCATGGCCCACCCTGGGAAAACCTGGCTTGTGTTAATGGGAGCTAAAGGGAAAAACACGCAGACCACCAAGAGAACAGGCAAAGGAGAGGGTGATGGGGCAGGGTAGGGCAGAAACAAGTACAAAATCATGTCCAGGATCCAGGGATTCTTTGCTGAGCATCACGTTGGAGGTGGCTTCAGTTTGACCTTGCTCTTCCCTTGAGAACAATGTCCTCTGGCTGCTCTTCGAGCTGCCCTGGAGCCAGGAGCACGGGCGCGCTCAAAGCAGCGCTGCAGCATAAAGCTGAGCTCAAACCCCCACCATGTGAGACTCCTCAGAGACCTCTCGAGCTTCACCCACTGAGCGTGAGAGTCCCGCAGCCGGCTGCGCTCTCAGGCTCCCCTGCAGCTCAGCCTGGATCTCACAAACCCGCAGCTCTGCAGCCCCTCTCCTGACCCACAGCCCGCCTCGCCTCGTTGGTGACCGGAGTTCATGCCAGGCCATGAGATAAGTGATCCTTCTGGAGCTGGGCATGTTTAACAGAGGCCCAAAGATGCAGCATACCCACGAGGAGTCACTGGATGCTCTGCTTTTTCAAATGTCCCCGCATGCAGGCACATTCCCCCATCACCCAGTGCAACGCACTCTTGAAAAGTCTGTGCAGAGCAGGGGACCTGTGTAGGAGCATTCCCAAAAATACAGATCATGCCAGGGCTGGCAGAGAGCCACGGTGATGTCTTGATTGAGGCATGTGGCACAGCAGGGTGAAGGAGTCGATGGACAGTGCGTCTTTTATTAGCTCCCATCCTGAGAAGGAAGGAAAGCGTATTGTCAATCTCTGCATTCATGCCCTCGGCAGCCTGCGCTGGGGAGAAGCAGAGAGCCTGTGCCGTTCTGCCTCATGAATATTGGAGCAGAGCCCACAGGAGCTGGCTGCACAAAAGCAGAAACCTCTGGAGGAATTGTCTTGGTCCTGGCTGTGCCAGCCCGGCCCCAACCATCCCATCCTATCCCGCAGGTGCTGGGCACTTGGCTGGAGAGGGAGCATCACACAGCCCTGGTATATAGAAAGGGAAGGGCAAGGGTGTCCTTTGCTGCCCAATGGCTTGTTGATAGAGCCGACTCGCAGATGCTTGTGGATGCACAAACCCTACTCTAGCAGAAAGGAAGTATTTGACCCTGGAGCCCTCTTGGCTCCTGCAGAGGAAATGAGCACTGCAGCGAGGCTCTAGGAGCCTGAGGACAAGACAATACTTCACCATGGCTGTTCTGGAGCGGTGTGCAGGGACACGCACCACCTGCTGCTCTCTCCTACACACGTGTGTCTGCTGTGAGCATCCTCTGTGGTGCTGAGGGGGGGATCTGTCTTATCCCAGCTAAGCCACAGCCAGCTTTGCCCATCATACCACACTCGGGAGCTTCAAAGAGGATTGAAGAAAAGTGGTGCCAATTGTAATGTCTCCTTTGAAGAGCATCTGTCCCGAAAAGATTTAGGAAAACAGCTGTAAAGAAGCCTACGGTGCAACTGTTTCCAGCTGGCATCAGCAGGCTCCGTCGCCCAGAGACATGTTATCACTGAGCTGAAAGAAAACAACTTGGGGAAAAAAAAATCTTCAAAGGTGACAAATAGGAGGGAGGGAACAGTCCAAAACTGTTGCCTGGACCTTTTCCCAAATGCAGAGGGTAGATTCAGAGAAAAATCCAGGTGAGCCTGGCCTGCCCTCATCGCTGCCTTCTTCCAGTCCTCTTAACACAGCAGTGACACTAACTTGGACTCTAACATCTACGCGTTGTGTCCCCACTGGAGCTGGTTGGGCAGCACATGATGCAAGGAATGCCTCGGTTCAGAGCCGCCCGCAGGCTGGTTGTCAGGTCTGTTTGCACTGGCCCATCCGTGTTTATATAAATACGTGTCACTCAGCTACTGCTGGCCTTGATGGTTAATAAAACAAGTGGATCTGATAATGCGTGAAAATCCCAGTGGGTAAACAAACAGAAAGCGGAAACGCTGGAGACTTGTACAATTACTCTGCTCCACGCAGAGTGCCAAAAATGCTTGAGCAAATGCAAAGGGCTTTGGGGCTCCTTTGCACAACTGGGACCTGGGGCTCTCATGCGCTCTGCACCCAATGCAGTGGGGACGTGGGCACAGGAGCAATGGGTGTGCGCAGAGGCCACTGGATGTTACTGGTTTGGAAATGAGATCTACTATTATTTTTCCGTGTGCATGCATAGGAGGGGAAAAACTCAAAATTCAACAATTCTGTTCTTATTGAAGCATTTGTGAGACTGATCCCTTGGAAAAGCCTGCTGTGATTCACGGGCACAAGCTGCCAGGGCTGTAGTTCTTGTCCTCTCTCAGGCACTGATGGCGTTTTTAATGACTGCAGAAGTTTGAGCTGTGTTAGAGGGGCTGTCCCCAGGAGCATGTCAGTGCCTCCAGAGCCCTTGTAGCTGGTGGCACGGGGATGCTGCAGCGTACTACCTCCAAACTCATCTGTGGTAAGCCAGGCAGCAGGAGGTGGAAGAGCAAAATCTGCAGGAAGACCAATCAGCTGCTGAAGACAAACACAAAGGGGCACGTCTTTCCCCCACGCTTGGACAGAAATCCTGTGCTGACTGCGTCTGAGCCATTGTGCCCTCCGATGGCACCTTATCTCGCTTCCTCCTCGCTGTCCCTTGCCATCGGGATCCAGCTATTGATGACAGTCACGGTCTGGCTGTGCTTAAAAGCATCTGCCCCAGACCTGCCCTGGCAGTCCCCTGGCAGAGGAGCTGCCTGTGCCAACATGCCCATTCCCAACTTGCATAAAAGATGAACCCAGTTTCCTCTAATAGAGCAAACAGTGCGACAAAAAGCCATTTTTTACCCCACAGCTGTCTCTTGCGATTCCTTCTTGTTTTCCATTTCTTTTCTGTGCATTCTTAAGTGACTCTCAGCTACACTGGCAAACTTTCAAGCGTGCACTGGGCCATCTTCTGAAAGGGGCTCTGATTTCACAGGAGGAAACTTCCAGCACGGAATAAAAGCTTGTTTTGTTTGTAGTAAACAAGTGCAGTTGTAGCGAGCTGTGGTAGGGCGCCCGTGCGTACGTGTGCATATACAAACCTCCTGCACTGGAGATCCTTGGCCATGTATAAAGACACACAAGCAGGCTCTGGCTGGAGGTTTCTTGCAATTCCTGGACTTTGCTGTTTGTCCTTGGGCCCCTCTGGGTGCGAGGCTGAGGAACTGGGCTCTGCGGTCGTGCCCTGCAGCTGGGTGCCTGTCCTCGAGTCTGCGGAGGAAGGGAAGGGGCAGCAGCCCCAACCAGCAGGGAGCAGGATGGGGTCAGGGGGCTGCAGAGAGCTGGGCAGGGCAGGGAACCCCATCCCATGGCAGCAGGGAAGGAAACGCAGCCGGCAGCTGAACAGAAGGCAATCAGCTGAGCCTCCCTTTGTTCTCTCCTCGCTCTCCTTTATCCCTGACTCCCCCCTGCTTTTCTCTTCCTCGTTTTCTTTCCAGTCTGCTCTCCTTCCCTCACTCTGTTTCCCACTCCATTCATCACCCCGCGAGTCCCAGCCAGCAGCTGCACTGAGCCAAGGGAACTCATCACATCCGTGTGTTTTCTTAATAGCTCTGGACCCTTTTAATAATGAGAGGGAATAGAGAATAAATGGATCCTTTCCCTCAGGGCCCTGTATGGCTCCCGGTACCATTTTAAGTATCAGTAGGACGAAGTCATGGGAGCAGGAGACTTGCTTTTGAGCAGGCTGATACCTTGCATACCCAGGAGGTGACCCGGGGAAGGGGACCAGCCTCTGCTTGCCTGGCGCTGAGTGAAGCTGCTTGCCACCTCCTCACACCTGTTTTTCTCCGTGGAGGAGGGCTGTTCCTCCATGCCACAGCCCGAGAGCAGCAGCTATTTGGGTTATGAGCAGAGCCATGCATGCGCGTGGGAGGAGAGCACAGGGCCATTAAACCCCCACCACGTTCACTCTGCTCGCCCCAAAGCTAACTCTCCTTTTTGCCCATGTCCAGAGGACAGCATCCTTTGGAGTGGTCGTGGCCTGGGGGCAAGGTGGACCCCACTGGGAAGGAGAAGGAGACGGAGTTCATGGCCTCAGCAGCTCCCAGTGCTGGCCGGGCAATCCGGGAAGAAGACTGCGAGGGCACCGGCACGAAGCCGTACTGCAAAGTCCTGGTGCTGACAGAGACCCAGGCCAACGACACGGGTTACTACCGCTGCTACTACAAGTACATCGATGCCAAAATCGAGGGCACCACAGCGGTCAGCGCCTACGTCTTCGTGAGAGGTAAGAGCCATCCGGCAGCGCGTGCTGGGGGAGCTCAGGTGCAGCCCAGGCACCAGCACAAAATCCGAAAGCTTAAAAAGCCCGACGTGCCCGCCAGCCTCCCAGGGCAGAGCGGGGCTGTAGCAGGCTTGGGGAAGGGGCCAAGGGCTGGCTCCTCGCACTGAGGAGAAAGCAATATCCGTCCACTTCTGGGGGATGGCAGCAGCGCCTGGGATTCAATTATGTCCCGGCCTGGGGGCATCACTCCAGCCAGGCTGGAATGCAGGAATTTAAGGAGCGAGAGCCAGGCCTCAGAGACGCTCTGCCGCTAAAAAAAGCACAAGAGTTAGCTTCTGGGCAGCTGGGGGCTCTCAGAGATGCTAGAGGCAGAAGGGGCTAGGGATGATAATGCTCCGTAAAGCTGAGACTGAGAGGAGGAGCAGCACAAACTCGCTGTGTGCAGCCTCCTCCTGTCCCCTGAGCTGGAATGGCCCTGGAGCTGCTCCCCTATGGCAGCCCCACACGCTCCTCTCCGTGTTGTCTGCACAGGAGCTGCCTTGTGTAGACAGGGTTAAGAGATGTGTTTTTGAGGAGGAGGGCTCTCTGCCAAGCTTGGAGCCCAGACCTCAGCTCAGCAAGGGGCTGCGGGGCCGATTCTCGGCTTCCTTGTGTGCCCCAGGGGCTCCCCCTTCGCTGTCTCCCCCACCGCTTGCAGCACACTCCAGAAAGATAAATGAGCACTGTCCCCTGGAAACAGTTGGCTGAGCTATTTCTCTTTCCACCCCCATTTATTAGTTGGTGCAGTTGTCACGAGCCAGGCAGGTCATGACACACAAGATGCGTTTTTCAGAAGTCCCAGGGCAAAGCCAAATTTGCCTCTGCAACTATGCACAGAAAAACGTAGGGGCACAACAGAAAAAGCTGGGCAGCTGCTGGACAGGAATTGGAGTCTGTTTGGGCAATTGCTTCATCTTACTGTGGGTTTCCCTTCTAAAAAAAATGGATTTTGAATCTCCAAGTGTTTCAAGTCAGGTGTGGATGTGCAGTCCAACAAATGCCACTTTCTTTGTCCCCTTGTCCACCTTTTCTTACCTCCAGCTCAGTAATGGTTCTCCTGTTTACCAGAGAACAATAAGTGTGCATGTAGGATGTAGCTTAGGGGCAATAAATCCCATGCTGTCAGGGTGCATGGGACTCACAGGGTGCCTGTGGACAGCATTTGTGCAGCAGATCCAGCCAACACCTCCCAGTGTTGCTTTGCACATGGCTACAAAACACATGCTCACACTCATTCCGATCAGGCTGTGCCCTGTTATGGCTATCAAACATCCAGGAAACCTCAGGATCTGCCTGGACAGACGTCCCAGGCAGGAAAAGTGACATGTCCAGGAAAACCCAGGCATATGGTAACCGTAGCCAGTGCAGAGCATCCAGATAAAGCCCTGCCTGTTCCTGCTGAACTGGGCTGCAATGTGAAACTGTCCCTGGAGAGTTTGGAAGGGCTGATGTAAGTGTTGGGGATGTTCGGAGACAGCACGATCAGACCTTGAGTTTATCCACCAGCCTCATTTCTCATGTTAAGAGCTTGGTGAAATTGCCAGGAGCAAAATATCTGAGTTTGGCTGGAAACATGGGCTCTTCTGTATGTTACCTGCAACTCAGTTTCCAAGTGAACTCATGTCTCATTTCCCACATGTCTGGTTAGGTGTGGATTTTATTACACCTACAGATAGTGCTGTAACCACACCGAATGCCTCATCAGGGTGGAATAGGATACGTACAGCCCCCATCTCATAAGGCTTAGCATATATTAATGAAGACGACGCTAAATTGTTCCCATCCGACCCATTAAGACAGCCTTATAGAAAATATGTGATGTGATCAGAAGGGGAGGTAGTGCATGAATCACGAGCTTGTTGGCAGCAGGACCTGCCCAGTAAATCAGTCAGTTCTTGGCTACCCTCTGAGCTTGGAGGGGACCTCAGAGCCTCTCACCTCTGGCAGTTGTGTGCCTCCTCCCTCTCACGTGCCCAGGGCTTGGAAGAGGAATGAGGAACATGTTCACACTTTGAAACAAATCTGTGAGTTCAGAAGACAGCAATTCTGTGCTAGTACAAAACCCCAGGAAACAAAGATAAGGATTCTGTGGGCACCCGTATTTTCACTAAGAGCTGGCCAACACGTTTCCTGTGTGTGGTTTGTTTCCCCTAAGCTGTAGAAAAGCACATTTCACCCAGAACAGGGTTTTGCAGCCTGACTATGACTGAAGCAGCGGTTTTCTAGACCAAAAATTGAAATAAATTCCTTTATGCACTTACCAGTGGGAGCACTGGGTTGGGTTGAGTTGGACCTAATGTGACTTGAGCAGCAGAATCCCCAAACGGGGATGATCACTGCTTTCATCTTTGACTTGTCATTTTAGATGGGCAGCTTTAGGGGTTGGCCAGCACAGGAAAAGGGCTGGGCAGACCTCTCCATGCTGCAGTCCCTTGAAAATGATGTTTTAGCTGCAGCCCAGATGAATAAAGAGCCTTTGAGGCTGCTGGAGTCATTTAGTCTGATTCCAGCCTACCAGAAGCAGCTCCCTAGGGAACCCCATCTCCCAGGTGGGGACCCACCGCTTCCTTATTGACCCCCCCTCACCCAGGGGATGGTTTCCTTTAACGAAGCCAGACATGACCACATGCTGGGTGGATGCTTCCACAGACGTGACTCTTACAGAGGAAAGATGCTGCCCAGAGCAGGCATCAGAGACACCAGGGAGCAGTCTGCGTTCAGAGCATCCCTTGATGCATGTGTCCCTGTCGAAGTGGGCAGGCGGGGGCTGCTATTTCAGAAGAAATCATCCATCAGTGAGGCACTGCCAGGGGACACCAAGCACTCTTGTAATTCACTCTCTCTTCCAATTTTGTCTTCATCCCGCTTAGTCAACCTCAGGGGCTGCTGCTGCTGCTGTGCCCTGTGTGGGAGGGTCCAAAGAGTAGAAAACCCTTCAAAGTGAAACATAATTTTTAAAGAAAAGCACTGCCAGACAGGTGAGGTACTACAAGACAAGCCTCACCCTTCTGACCCTCTGTCTGGACACAGCTTAGGATAGAAATGTCTTTTGCATCTTGGTTCTACCAGTTCTTTCCAGCAAGGAAGAACCCAAAACAGGGTCAGTGTTCTGTGCTGCCCTCTTGGCTTGCCAGCTCTTGGTGCTCTGTATCTAGTTGGTGCCTGGCACAGTGGCTCAGGGCTGTGGTGGACCTCTACACACTGCTGTCAACCCAAGTAGAGCCCCACAGAGGCAATGTGCTGAGCAGGACAGGACAGACCCCTCTCCAAACACATTCCTTCTCGGTGCTGGCTCCACGTGGAGGAGTTCAGCGTGACGCCCCTGGACTCGCCAAGTCACTTTGCTGATTAATTCGGGCGGTTTGGCTCTTCCTGTCAATATTTGTGCTTGCATGCAGTTAGGAGGCAGTGGGGTGGCAGCCCTGGAAATCTCAGCTCATCTGTTTATCTGCCGGCCGGGATGGCTGCAGGATGACATCTGCATACCATTTAGCTGCGGATCACTTCCTCGCCCTGGAAGGTCGCGCTGCCTGCTGCCACGCCAGGGCAGCACAGCCCCAGCACGGGGCCATGCACAGGACCAGCTGGGCAGGCGCTGAGCACCTCCGCTTTCACAAAGGGTCAGACCCAGGCAGAGACCTCAAATGGGCCGGGAAAGGGGAGGTTGTGTCCAGCACTGCCCAAATGGCACAGAAGTGCCACTCCACCAGTGTTTCACTCCAGTGTTTGGTGGGGGGGATTCGGCCAGCCCAGGCACCCCCCCAGGCTGCTCCCCTTGTGTTCAGGGTGTCTCTGCTGCCTGTTGCACATCACAGATGGGGCTGACCTGCTCAGCACCACTCCCTCTGGCAAGCTCATGCTGTGTCAAAGAAAGCCAGCAAGCCTCCTATTCTTCTGGTTCCTCCCTCTTCCCACTTCTTCTCCTGCCTTTTTTTAGTTTTCTTTTCCTTATGTCTTTTAGATTACGAACAGCCGTTTATCAACAAGCCGGAAACGCTCCTCATCAGCAAGAAGGAGAACACTTGGGTACCGTGCCTGGTGTCCATCCCAGACCTTAACGTCACTCTGATCCTGGTGAGAGCTCCTTTAGTGGGATGCCGGGGACTGACATGCATTGCATTTGTTGTGCATTTGTAATTGCCTGAGTGGAAGCAGGACAGGCACTGCCAGGAATGGAAAATGCATGGGATACATTTTCCGTGGAAAGTACAAGCCACTGGCTTCCTCGTTTTATTTGCTGGTTGAAGCGGTGTTGTCCAGTTCCCTTGGGCAGATCCTGTGGGTTTCCTGCCAACCGTGCTCCTCTTCCCTGGAGCTCTATGAAACAAAACAAGACTTTGTTTTAATCCCATAGCATCGCCTCTTTGCTCTGGTCTCTGTGATCTGCAAACCCTCTAGGTGGTCAGCATCCCCATGGGGAGGAGGCTGCAGCTCTCTGGGGCTGTTGACTAAAAACAACTCTATTATCAGCTTGCTTATACCTTTTTTTTTCTTTTCTTTTTTTTTTTTTTTTTTTTTACAATGCAAATACATCCTTCCAGGATGAGTGTTACTATTGTACAAAGGCCTCCAGGGACACTCCGGGGGCCAGGGGCCTTTCCCTTGCCCGGGAAGGACACTACCCAAGGTCAGCCCTCATCCCAATTGGGCTGATGTTTGGGACATCAGCATCAGCTTCCTTAGCTATCACTATCAGTTTCCATTCCTGGAAGTTTCTGGCCCTCTCCGCGGATGGGGAGGCTCGCAGTGCAGGATACAGCCGCTTGGGGTTTAGGGGAGGCTGCAATTCCTAGATGACAAACCCTCTGGGGGAGAGAGCAGGAGGCCAGCGTAGCGTGATGCTGCATAATTTCGCTCCACCAAAGAGAGGTGTTAGCCAGCATGAAAGAGGTGGGGTGGGAATGTTGTTACCCTCTCATTTCACTTGGCAAACGTGTTGTTTTTTCCAGCAAAATTCCCTCATACACCCCGACAGGAAAAGCGTTTTCTGGGACAACAAGAAAGGTGTGCAGGTACCCACTCACTTGATCAGGGACTCCTTGTTCGTCCAGTGTGAGACTGTCATCGACAAGAAGGTCTTCAAATCCAACTTCTTCATCATCCACATAGCAGGTGAAGGTTTGGGGAAGTGCAGGGGGACAGCCTGCAGTCCTCTGGTGTAGTTCATGGGGTTGTTATGGCCCTGTCTAGCTCCATAGACTCTGCAGTGTGCTTATATCTGTGCTGTGCACCATGCTGAGATATATTCAGCAGCACAAGTTCACACCCAAGCCTCCTGTAACTGCACAGTCCGAACTGCAGATTCCCAGGTTGCTTTTCTGTTTTGCACTGCTTTTCTGAGAAGATCCCAACGTCAAAGAATGAATAGATCAGAAATGTCTTTTCCTTGCCTCTTCTGCATCAGGGAGTGAGCTGTACGACATCCAGCTGTACCCCAAGAAAGCCATGGAGCTGCTCGTGGGAGAGAAGCTGGTCTTGAACTGCACAGTGTGGGCCGAGTTCAACTCTGGTGTCCGCTTCCAGTGGACTTACCCTGGCAAACAGGTACTGGCAGACAGAGCAGCTCCCCATGCACTGAAACACTTCCCTCTGAGTTGTCCCATCCTGCACACTCACTGTTCTTCTTGACATCATTGGCAGGGCAAATACTGGCTTCATTTCCACCAGTGTATATACAGACCAAGCATCCTTGGCTTGAAAGGAGCTATTCTAGCCTCACAGCCCAGGTTTACCAAGAGCCTGCAAGGGGATCCCTTCCCCCTGTGTTTTCACTGTGTTTTCAGACTGAGTCTGGCTCTTGTGAACCGTGAAACAAGGGATTTCCCCAAGGGCATTTTGGTGTTCACATACTTACATAGCTCCATACCTAGCTCCTGGGCTGCAGACCAGAGCAAAACCTGTGCTAAACTCCTACCCAGCCTTGGTCAGTCAGTCACACAGGGCTCACTGCCTTCCCGTCTGCAGTCAGTGGTGGAGATGCCTTCCTGGGGAGAGGCAAACACTGAACAGCAAGAAAGGCATTTATGAGGATCCCACCTGCACAACCCTAACCCTTTGATATCTTTCACACCCTGTTCTCTGCAATCTCCCACCAGACACAGCGAGCAGTGATAGAGCCGGAGCGCCGGTCCCTGCAGACGCACACAGAGCTCTCCAGCATCCTCACCCTCCACAATGTCAGCCAGCAGGACCTGGGCAAGTACACGTGCACTGCCACCAACGGCGCCCAGATGCTGGAGGAGAGCACCGATGTCATTGTGCATGGTAAGCTGCCTTCTGCTCCCTCTCAGAGCCACGGCCAGAGTCAAGCCGCAGGCAGAGTAATCCCCATATCTCTTAGGAAGGGCTCGGCCCAGTGCTTAGTAGTGGTGCTCCTGCATTTCCATCCCACTCTGCTTTAGTGAGACCCAGCCTTCTCCCAGTTCCTCAGCCCTTCTGCGCTCCAGCACCGCACTGGGAGCACAGTCACACTCAGCAGGATGCCCCAGTGGTGATAGAGGGAGAAATGCAAACATCAAATTGGCCCAGATGATAGTGGGAAGGCATGATGTGACCTCCAGGCACACAAGGCACCATCAGCACTGGGCAGCCTGCTCCTGGCAGTGGAAAGGTCGGGGTCAGCCCAGCCTCCCTGCAGCCCTGATGGTTTCCATCAGAGGGGCAGAGGCAGCTTGTCAGCTGCTGGAGCTGCAGTGTTGTCCTGGCAGCCCTGCCTGGCACCCATCCCTCTGTCCCCTTCTGCTCCAGGAACGGGGGCTCTGCTGGGAACAGGAATTGGGAAGAGGGAACTGTAGCAGATTTCAGTTATTTTGACTTCATCATCACAGCAGCAAAAGTTGGTTCTGCGTGTGCTGTGACAGTGCCCCAGCTGGCCTTGGTCCCTGCTGTTTAATCCTGCAGGAAGCACACAGCTTGGTGACAGCCTGAGTCTTTGTGCTTCCTCCTCCATACTCGTCTCTTCTCTTGCAGAAAAGCCCTTCATCAACGTGGAGTGGAGGAAGGGCCCGGTGATAGAAGCCACTGCAGGAGACGAAGCTGTGAAGCTGCCCGTGAAAGTCGTGGCTTACCCCCCACCAGACTTCCAGTGGTAACGCACCTTTCTTGGCCCAAGACACCTTCTCCTCTCCTCTTCTCTTCTCCTTCCCCCTGCCCAGTAGGAAATCCTAGTCTGGCCTCCTTGCTAGGTCTCTCTGAGGCCAAGGTTGTCCTAAAGGAGGGGCTGCCCATGTTCCTGGGGTATTTTCCCATGGCTCACTTGCCCTGGCTCTCAGCAGCACAGCTTGAGGGGTGAGGATGTGAGATATGGGGGAGAAGCAGCAAAGGTATTGGCCTGGCTTGGCAGCTCTCTGCTGTCTGGAGAGGCCAAATGGAGCTCCCACAGGAGCTGCCCCCTCATGCCCCTGCAGCAGGAATCACAGCTGCCCAGAGGAGCGAGAGAGAGGCAGGTTGTTTCCTGCATCCCACTGCGCTTCCTCCAGAGCTAGCTGGGAGCTTTGCACCCAAGCTCTGCTTGAGGCTGAGTCACAATACTGCCAACCCCACACACATCCACAAAGGATAATGTGCAGACCCTTAACTCAGGTCTGAGGAAGGCCCAGGGGACCCTCGAGAGAGGACCGTGCTTTGGTGGGGACCAGCAAGCCCCTGCCTGGCTGCCGGTGGGACACTTCCTCTCCGTGGCTGCATTTTGTCTCTGCCTCCCCGCAGGTACAAGGACGGGAAGCTAATTCCCAAGCAATCTCAATCTTCAATGCAGATCAAGGATGTGTCGGAGCAGCACGCTGGGACATACACGCTGGTTCTGAGGAACAGGCTGGCAGGGCTGGAGAAGCGCATCAGCCTCCAGTTAATTGTCAACGGTAAGGGAGGGGGCTGGGGCCAGGGGGAGAGCGCTGAGCCCATGGCCCTGGCCCTTGGGGTGCTCCGAGACCAAGTCCCTGCTGCTTTGCTAAAGCAGTCGGCACCTACATCATCGGAGGGATGCTCTGTTTACAGCAGGGCTGCTTCCTTGTGGCCTGGGTGATGCAGCACAGGAGTGGAAATCAGGACACTGCAGTTTTGTTCCCGGCTGCATTGCTCTGGGCAGGGTATGTCCTTGCTCAGGGCATTTCCCAACGGCGGCTGGGGCTGCTGCTGAAGGTGATCCTAACTGATGGGGACTTGAGAGCAGGGCAGCTGCAACCCACATGGAGCCTGCAGCTGGAACAGTTTCCCTGGGTGTCCCGTGGCTCCTGGGGAGCTTTTCTCTCATGGAAATTGGTTGCTGTCATGCAGGAATCAGGGGCCAGCACAAGAAGCAGTAGAAGGGCACTGCTGCTTGGGGATTTGTCTCCAGCAGGCTCTGTAACCTTGTGCTGGGGGCTGCTAGGCAGCACTGGGAGTGCTGCAGTATCCATACAGTCACACCCCGCAGAGGAAGGAGAAATGCCATCATTTGAATCTGCCTAAGTATAACCCACTCTGCCTTACAGGTCTGAGCTCCTGGGGAGCTGCCCTGAGAGCTACAGTCCTTTAGTGCCTGGTCTCTCTATAGGCAGGGGAGGGCTGTGCCTGGCCTGGGGATGCAGCAGCTGAGCCCGGGGCCCCTCACTGTGTCCCTCTGCTTGCAGTGCCTCCACGCATCCACGAGAAGGAAGCCTCTTCCCCGAAGCATCTACTCCCGGAGGAGCTCCCAGGCCCTCACCTGCACGGTTTATGGCATCCCAGCCCCGGAGGTGATCCAGTGGCAGTGGAGGCCGTGGATGCCCTGTCGGATGTTCTCTCGACGCAGCCTGTAAGTGCCATTTCTCTCCAGCACCCACATCCTGCCAGGCCACCAGCACCAGTTATGGGCTCCCTGTGACCCTGGCTGCATCCCAGACCACATCTCACTGTTGTCCTTCCAGCCGTGATGTGGTGAGAGGAGGACAGCAGCAGCTGGTGGCTCAGCGTGCCATATATCCACTTGCCCCATAGAGTGGAATGGATCACACCAGAGCTGCTTGCTGTGCTGCCTGTGGGACTTCTGCCCAGCCTGGCTGGTCCCAGGCACCAAGTGTTTCCGCACCTTCCCCTGTCCTCTCAGCCATCTGTGTCCGGCAGGGGATGTCCATGGCCCAGCCACACCTCACAGCACCTGCACTAACACCCACTGGCTGGTGGTAAAGCTTGTAGCCCCCTCAGGCCATCTGCCAAGGGCTGTGCAAATGGGGAAACTGAGGCAGATTGTAGGAGAAATGGTCGCAACCCTTTGGTGAGCCCCTGAGACAGCAGCCGGGGCTTGCCCCATTTCTGCCCTCAGGTCCCTGTGTTTTTTTGGTCTGTAAGAGTTCAAAATCCAGGGGAAGTGCCAGCTCTCTGCCAGCTGCCAGGCGTTTTGCCCGGAGGGTGGTGGTGCCGGCAGCACCGCTGGATATGCAGGAAGGGTGCATGCCCGCTGCCTGTTCCCCAGGAAGCAGGGGCAGCACGAGGCAGGGCTGCAGTGGTATTTTTTAGCTGTGGCCTTGCAGGAAGAGGGAAAAGGAATGCCGGAGAGTTGTAGCCAGAGCAGTCAGGGCAGAGGACACCAGGTTGCCTGGAGGAAGCCGGGTCCTGCAGTCCCGTGCAGGCTGTTGTCGAGCCAGGGACACCGGAGCGCTCTCCATTGCATGCGAGCGCACCGTGGCCCTGTCAGGAAGCAGAGGGGCCCATGAGTTATGAGCAGTGTCTCCCAAGGCCGCCGTGTTTCTGCCTAGCTTAGCTCCAGAGGATGCAGGAGGCTTCTTTCTGGCTTCCTGTTGTTTACACAACTCACCGGTGTGCTCGCCCCGCTGAGCGCTCTGCCGGCACTGCCAGCAACGCGCCCTTGCCCCTGCTCCTGGGTGTTCAGCTCCCCCCTGCCTCCCTGCCACTGCGAGCCCTTTCCCTCCTCACCTCCCTCCCTGGATTTTGGGCAGACCCTCCCGTCTCCCTTCTCCACCCTGCATTTCAGAAGTTCCCTACAAGCTGCAGCATCTTGGGGCTTTGACAGATTTGGGCTCTTTTCCCTGCTCCCCTGCCTCAGCCCCAAAGAGCTGTCACCACGTCCCCGGGAAATGCCAGCAGCATCTCTCCTTGGGATGTTTCCCTCCCACTTTTGTGGGATCAGGGGTAGCAGGTGCACTTTCAGGTGCTGCATACTCTGCTCTCCAGGCCAGCACCCAGCCAGGCTGTGACATCCCTGACTCACAGTCCCAGCCAGGCCTCAAGTCTCTTTTTTGAGCTAAGTGGCACCAGGAACTGCCCCAGGCACACACAGACAGTTTTCTCTCCTTCCTATCTCTGTCCTTAGCAGAGGATTATGAAACCACCGGCCTGAGGGTAAAGATACTGCCTGGGACACCAACATCTGGTTCCTGCTTCAATTTTCATATCTGTAGATAAAGTTTGCCTCACTAGTGACTGCAGAGCACTCTTACAAAGCACACTAGGACCATGTAATAAAGAGACCCAGGAAATTTTGCAGTCGGAGAATAGGAGCATTGGTTCTGAGACACAAAGCTATTTTTGTTGCCTTCTTCCCAGCTGACCCTCTCTCCATTTCTCTTCTCTTTCTCCTGTTCCTCCCTGGCTGCTGGATTAGCAACAGCAGGCACCGGGCAGCAAGACGCCACCAGCGAGACCGGATGCCCGAGTGCAAGGACTGGAAAGATGTATCGCAGCAGGACGCAGTAAACCCCATCGAGAGCATCGACACCTGGGTGGAGTTCGTGGAGGGACGGAACAAGGTGAGGCCGCAGCCCCAGGCCCATCCTAGAGCAGGGAGCAGGAGTCAGGCAGCCTCGGTGGCGTCCATCGCTATCAGCCCGTAAAAGTGGCCTGGAAATGAACCTGGCAGAGACGGATTTGGGGAGTGCTTCACACCTCTGCTGCTAAAGTAAACCAGAAGCAACCATCCCCAGCTCTGGGGCTCTGCGGTACCAGGCAGCCCCAGGGCGAGGGAGAGCTGTCGTCTCTGAGAAATTTCCCTGCGTCCAGAGGGGCTCCCACTAGGGCTGACTGCAGAGGAGAGATCACACTGATCACTGCTGAACTCGGGGCACCCAGCTGGGGGAGGGCATGGGGGTGAGGCTGGGAGGGCTCTCAGGGGCATTTCTGAGTCCTCCTGTTTTGGGAGAGTCAAACCCAAAGAGCAGCCTGTGAAACTGGGAAGGGAGAGCAGAAGCCACACATTGACCAGGAAATCTCTGGCCTTGGGAACATCCCTGTGTGTGGAGGGCGTTTCATCTAGCTGCCCCCTTCCTCGGGGGGTGAGGGTGGCATGGAGATGCTGGCGTCCACCCGCAGCAGGTTTGTGAGGGGGAGAGCACACGTGTGCCCTGCAGATCCCACTTCTCCATCACACAGTTTCCTCTCTGGAAGGAACATCTCTCCCTCGTTGCGGTGTGTGACCTGCAAACAGCTGGACAGTGCTCGCTGCCTGTTTCTTTCTGTCCCTCTGGTAGCCGCAAGTGTCAGGTCTGTGCCCCGCGCCGCAGCAGGGTTCCTGTTCCCGCTGGTGTCGGGCACCGGCTGCTCACAGAGGGATGCAGAACAAACAAATGGGCCCCCGTTTCCGAAAGTCACTTCCTGTTTTCCTACACACCTCCAAAGGCACTTCCCGTTCCCCGGCCTGGCCGGGAGTTCGTCACTCTGCCAAAAGGGTGGCAGGGGCAGACACCGCTCCTCCCAGAGCAGCCGAAGGGAAAGGCAGCAATCAGCGTCCCCCGGGGAAGGGAGCGGGGGTGCCGGGAGCTCCTGGGTGAGATGACCTCGTGTCCCCCTCCCGATGTGACTCTCATCTTGGTTATTCTGTCTCTCTAGACCTTTTGCTGTTTCCCACGTTCATTTTCCCTCTTTTTTTTTTCCCCTCTTCCTCCTGTTCCACAGCAGTGTCCTCATTCCCTGTCTGTTAGGTGCTAACCGCCCTGCAGGTCCCACTCAGGTTGTGCACACCAGGGACATGCAAGAGCTTCAGGAGAGGAGAGCTCTTCCACTATATCCCCAGAGCTCCTTTCTCTCCCTCTCCTCCTCTTTTCTGACTGTCTTCTTTTACCATCTTCCTCTGGTTTTTATTCTGCCCATAAAGGCCACAATGAACCACCATGCGTGCAGTGCACGGCCGTGCACTCTGGATGGCAGGATGATGCCAAACGCAGACAAACCCAGCTTAAATGTAACGGTACCCATTAGAGGGAAAATCCCCAAGCATTAAAGGCTGCACTCAGAAGTGCCACCAGTAGGGTCACTTCAGCTGTACTGAATATTCCCAGGAAACAGAAAAGGCAGCGTACAAAAGTGCTAGTAATAAGGTCACTTGAGCTGTAATGAATATGCACGGAGTGAATGTCTGCTCCTTCTGATTTACACAAGCTAATATATTGCCACTTAGAATTAAAATCCCTTCCGAAGTGTATGGGATGAATAGTAAAGACAAAGCACTTTCCCTATAGGAACTAAATCTTTTGCATTTTAAGCATTGTCTCGTTAGAGGGATCATTGCATGTAATTACCTTGTCATTTCACTTGGGCGGAGGGAGAAGGAGAAACCTGTGCTTCAAACTGCAGATCTCCTCTAAGGGGAGTGCTTGTAACACACTTGGCAGCTCACATGCGTTCAGTGTGAGCCGGGAGGAGGAGAGCCGCCCTCCTCCCCCTCTGCCTTTCCTGGCTCCTTTGGAGGCGGCATCTCCTGGGACCGAGCTCCCAGGACAGCAGCCAGGCTGTTTGCCCAGCCTTACTCATGTCTCGCTGGAAGGACAGATGAGGAAGCTTTTAGGATCGCGTCTATACGCACTTGGAATGTAAAAGGATGATAGCTCTTCCTGAAGTGGTGAGAGCTGGGATGCTTCCAGAGGGCTGATTTCCACTTATGGATAAAAGGAGAACAAACAGGTCTGTAAGTACCTGTAAATCCCACCGAGCTCTGTGGGACCCTAAGCAGTCACCTAACCAAGTGCAGAGGGCTCAGGGAACCAGTCTCTGCGTCCCTTCCCTTTCTCCCCAGCCTATTTTTGCATAACCCTTTTCCAGGTACAGCTGCCCTCTGGGACCAGGCTTGTTGTGTGTTTTGCTGTCTGCCAGAGAGCAGGGCTGATCCTACTTTTCTCTTCCTCTTCATCCTTCCTAACTTCTTCTGATGCTCTCTTCCCCCACCAGACAGTCAGCAAACTGGCCATCCAGGAGGCCAACGTCTCAGCCATGTACAAGTGCATCGCCTCTAACAAAGTGGGTCGGGACGAGCGGCTGATCTACTTCTACGTGACCAGTGAGTACCGCGGGTGTCTCTTCCACACGCGTCGGCTGGGCTCTCTGCCTGGAACAGGCAGGTCCCAACACCTGCCAGATCCTCTCCTTCACACGTAGCACCCTACACAGTCACCAGGAAGGCAGCAGGAGAGCAGGGGTGCCCCACAGCTCCGCCAAGTAGCAAAAGCTTGGAGCCCTGGCAGCAGATAATGCAATCAGATCTGGAGATGAGCCGGTGTGGCTATGGCTAAGGGATGTGCCTGGTCCGAGAGCATCCTCTAGTGGCACTGCCAGAACCACTCCCAGGCAGGGTCCTTCTGGCCACAGCCCTTGGCACGGTCCCCACAGGATTTTGGTAGTGGGAGAAAGCCAAGTTTGTAGGAGCTGGAGCCCAGCAGCGTGGGCTGGGGTCTTGGCCCATATGGGGCCACATAAGCTTCCTGCCAGCAGTACCCTGTGATGGCAGGAGCCTGGTTGTGCCTGCTGGGGACAGGGAACCCAGCAGGGGCACAGCAGTGGGCAGGGGTTTATCTTCAGGCCTGTCTAGAGAGACCCCAGAAGCCTCGTAGGCAGTACCCGTGCTGTCAGCAGCCTTTGTGGAGGCAGGTGAATACCTGCAACCACTGAGGACAGCAGGGTCTTAGAGAGCTGCACCCAAGGAGACAATTTCAATGTGCGTGCCTGGTAGTGGAGCCAAGAAAACTCATCCACATGTTCATTTCCTTCCCGAAAGCTATTCCAGATGGGTTCGAGATTGAATCCCAGCCCTCGGAAGAGCCCATAGAAGGACAGGACCTACAGCTGAGCTGCAATGCAGACAACTACACCTACGAGAACCTGCAGTGGTATCGGCTGAACCTCTCCAAGCTCCACGATGAGGAGGGCAATCCCCTCGTGCTGGACTGCAAGAACGTCCACCACTATGCCACCAAGATGCAAGGGGAGCTGCGCTTTCAGCCAGACTCCAATGACGCGACCTTGCTGCTCACCATCCCCAACATCTCCCTGGGCGAGGAGGGAGACTATGTGTGTGAGGTGCAGAACCGCAAGACCCGGGAGAAGCACTGCCACAAGAAGTACATCTCTGTGCAGGGTGAGGGCCAGCAGGACGGGTGGGAGTGATGGAGGAGAGCTGGAGCTCTTGCTGCAGTCAGCTTCCCAGTCCATCCCTGGGAGAAGCCATGCAAGCAGGGGTTAGACACCCAAAACCCACAATGAATTCTTTTGATCAACCAGTTTCCCATTTTCCCCTCCTCTCTGTGCTGCTCCTCCAGCCCTGGAGATCCCTCGCCTCAAGCAGAACCTGACAGACATTTGGGTGAACGTCAGCGACTCCATAGAGATGCGCTGCAAGGTGGACGGCAACCACGTTCCTGACATCAGCTGGTACAAAGACGAGAAGCTGGTGGAAGAAGTGTCAGGTACAGTGAGGTGGGGATGAACCAAAGGCAGGGCATCGTGGCTGGTGGCCAGAGAGCTCAGCACTGCTGGGTTCTGGGAGCTGCTGTGCCCAGGCAAAGGCACCTGGTTCTCTGAATTGTTTGAGCTCTGGTTTTAATCATGTTCTGCCCTGGTTTGATGCATGCTCGCTGCCCGAGTCTTTGCCCTAGGGCCTGGCTCAGCACTGTCTGTGCACGTGTACATTCAGGTGGAGAGCAAAAAGAGAAGAATCATTTTTCTTATGCTCAGCTCAGTGCTGGGCATCCCTGCTAAGGCAGAGACCAACCTGTAACCCATGGAGGGAACATGGGAGGTATACAGGCACGTTTCAGAGGGAAAGGAGCAGGCCCTGGAGGTGAAGCAGAGCTTGATACACCATCTGGATGGCCTGAGCACTGTTGCCATCCAGCAGTGTCTGTAGGGGTTTCGTTCCCTCCATACACTGCCTGAGGAAGGCCCCTCCAGGGTAGTTTTTGGTCTGTAAGGCCCCAGAGGAGATCCTCTGCCAGCTGGCGTGATTTCATTCTGCTATCTGAAATAAAACAGCCAAAAAATAGAAGCTTTATTTTCAGTCTGAATGAGTTCATGTATGAATCTCCCTTTGCTGTGAGTGACCACCATAACCCTCCGTGCCTTACAGGGATCGACCTGGCGGACTTCAACCAGCGGCTGAGCATCCAGAGGGTGAGGGAGGAGGATGCTGGGCTCTACCTCTGCAGCGTCTGCAATGCCAAGGGCTGTGTGAACTCCTCGGCCAGTGTCTCCGTAGAAGGTACCAGCAGCCACAACGCCCCTTGGGGATGAAACCATCTGACAGGAGTGTGTCCAAGGTCCCATGCCTCTTCCCTGGGATCCCAGACAGCAGGGGGACAATAAAAGTCCCTTAGAGCACATCTGTAGTCCAGGGAATATTTAGCTTGGGAAGTGTCAGGCTACTCTGCTCTTCTCAAAGTCAGCCTGCTCAGGCAGGCTTAGCATGAGGGGAAACACCTCCCTGGTCTCTCCACATCCTAAAGAATGGGACAGCCGAGCTGGGGCAGGGAAAGGGCATCTCTGAATCTGCAATTCACTCCTGTCCCACAGGCTCTGATGACAGGACCAATGTGGAGATTGTCATCCTGATTGGGACTGGGGTCATCGCTGTTTTCTTCTGGATCCTCCTTATCCTCATCTTCTGTAACATCAAAAGGGTACGTGGTTGTGGTTGTCTCTGTCCCAGGGCACATAAGGGCTGTAGTAAAGACAGGGACAGAGAACGGCCTTTGCCAGGGGACAGCAGGTTGAGGCAGGCGAAGGAGGCATCTCCTCACCTGCTGTGTTGGCTGATCCCCACAGCCTGCCCATGCAGACATCAAGACTGGCTACCTCTCCATCATCATGGACCCCGGCGAGGTGCCCTTGGAGGAGCAGTGCGAGTACCTGCCCTATGACTCCAGCAAGTGGGAATTCCCACGAGACCGCCTGCGCCTAGGTGAGCTGAGCCCCATCACTACGTCCTGCACCCAGGGCTTCCCACCAGCCCTTCAAACTCACCCTCCAGGCTTCTCACACAATTCTATGTAATTAATGCCTCCTCTCTGCCTCAGGCTTCTTATTTTCTTCTCCGTACTGTCCCTGAAGCCCAGTTGTGCCTGGGAAAATCTCTTTGGGTCTGACTTCAGGCAGGTCTGAGCCAACTGCAGGCCCAGACTCTCCCAGCATACCCACACAGGCATCTCTGAGACCATGAGACCTCTGGGCATGCTTTAAAACACACCCCTATGTTCTCCAGCTGGCGATCAGGACACAGCAGCCCAGTTCACGGGAGGTACCCTGAGTTCAGGCCCAGGAACGCAGCCATCATCCTCCTCATGCTGAGACACCCACCTGCAGTCCCTTCCCTCTGTCTGGGAGGGTTAAAAGGGCTGCAGACTGCCTTTGATGCACTGAGCAGTGACGTTAGCCCTGGCTGTTCTGCTGCAAGGTGTCACAGTTACCTTTCCCACACGGCCTGTTTGAGGGCAACAAACAGCCTCTCGCTTCTGCAGGGCCATTTCCTTCCTCCACTTTGTCCATGCCAGCTCTGTCTCAGTTCCTCCCCTCATCCTCTCCCTTATTCTCACCACCAAAGCAAGCAGCCACCTGGAAAGGGCATATGTTGCACTCCTTCCTTTTCCTTTATAACCCTTTTTCTTTCTTCATCCCATGGTTTCCTGTAGGGTTTTTTGTTTTTTCGTCCCATTCTCCACGTGCTGCACCTGCCTTCTTTCACACTGCCTCTCTCTTTGCCCATAGGTAAAGTCCTGGGTCATGGTGCATTTGGGAAGGTGGTGGAAGCATCAGCGTTTGGAATCAATAAAAGTAACAGCTGTGAGACTGTAGCAGTCAAAATGCTGAAAGGTATGTGGACAGCGAAGCAGAATGCATAGTCCTTGTGGATATAAAGGGTGCCAGAGACAGTCTACCTTGTAAATGACTGACTTTTGCATAAAACATTTTCCAGGCCTTAACAAATGCCTTATCTCCCTTAAGCACTCCTGGGTGCTTCTGCCTGAGCCAGTGCTGAGCTAGGGGAGAGGAGCTGGAGCCAGTCTTTTAATTTATGGCTTCTTGGCCTCTACACATTTGATCCTCTTGGCCTTCCCTCGTGAATGCTTTAGCCCCATTCAGCTGCACTGGGAGGCAAGTGGTGGAGCAGACAGCAGGGACCTGGGGAACTCAGCTTTCAAGGAAAGTTAACTGTCTGCAAAGGCAAAGAGTAAGATCTGTCTCAAAGGAAGAACAAGAATCCAGAGCCCCTCTCTGGCAGGTCACCAAAGAAAATGTTGCTCCTAATTGCCTTCCTCAAAACATTCCTGTATTTCATGTTTATGGGCCAGGTTCAGAGCTGGGTAAAGCATGCTGCAGCTCTGGAGCTTAGGAGGGCTGAATTGGCTTTGCATCCAAAGCTTGCTCAATCCACAGTGAGATTTTAAGCCGCACTTTCAAACAGGCATCCAGAACATTATCCTGTAATTTGGCAACCAACAAAATATCAAGGCAGTCCCCGGTCAGCACTGGCCTGTACATAGAAACTGAACCGTGGCTTGTCTCGGCAGCACTTACCACTGCAGGTGGACAGGTGATCTGCATGACAATTGCAGAGGGAAGCCTGGCCATACAAGGTTGTTTTACAATCCTTTGAGGCAGGGCTCTTACCTGGCCCATCAGCTGCAGCTCAGGAGGATGCTTCTCTATCTCAAACTAAAATTGCAAACTCCCAAGTAAGGCAAAATGCATGTAGGGAAGGCAGAGAAGTATGAAAAATGCACACAAAACCAGAGAATGCACCTTTAGAGTAAAACAGAGGAGCAAGAATTGTAGCAAATTAGGCAGTCAGAGAGAAAATGCAGTACAGAGGGCTGGCAGGGGCACAATGCTGCTGTTTGCTGTTGGAGAGGAATTATAAAAAAGATCTTCTGAGGCAGCTCCTATCTTCAGTCACAATCAAAAGACTCAAATGTCTTTTTGTTTCTAATTTTCCTTAAAAATGTTTTATAGCTCGTTATCTCTGCTTGGAGGCTAAAAGGGCAGAGATTCAAAAATGTGCATCTGTATGTAAGCCTCAGGTAATCTTTTTTCCTGCACAACTATCATAAAAAAAAAACTGTTGGACGCAGGTTGTGTTTGCTTGGGTCCCTGCACCTGCAGGATGCACCCTGTGTGTTACAGCAGGGATCCTGGGAGGCTCTGCCATTTCATTTGGAAACATGCAATAACAAAATGTACCAAGGCTTTGGGGTCACAACCTCCCCAACAAGACTCACATTAACGCCGTGCTAAGAAGGGGTGAGAAAAAGCTGCAAGGAGGCATCATCATGACGTGGTTTGTGTGTTTCCAGAGGGAGCTACCGCAAGTGAGCACAAGGCACTGATGTCAGAGCTGAAGATCCTCATTCACATCGGGAATCACCTCAACGTGGTGAATTTGCTGGGTGCCTGCACCAAACCCAATGGTAAATATCCCAGGGTGACAGGCTGCTCCCAGAGATCAGTGCTTGTCCCCCGTGCCATTTCTGCTGGCCACGAGAGTGACTGCAGGGACATGTGGGGACGTTATCAGTGTGTAGGTGTGCGCTTAACCTTGGTGCCGCAGCATAGCAGCACTGCATATAACATGAATTGGGGCAAATTCTGACTATTCCAAGTCCTTGCCTCTTTCTGATGTTTGATTTCTTCTCCTCAGGTCCTCTCATGGTTATCGTTGAGTTCTGCAAGTATGGCAACCTCTCCAACTACCTGCGGACCAAGCGGGAAGGGTTCAGTCCTTACAGGGTAAGTAACCTCCTTTGTCCCTAGGGACTTGTTCCATGGCTAGGGAAGGAAGACATGCAGCCAGGAAATTAACCCAACAATGAGACAAAGACACCCACTGTCTAGCAGCAGGTCAACTTTACACAGTGATGTTGGTAACATCAGGGAAGAAATTTCTGTCTGAAGTGGGGAATGGGTGCTTCCAAACCAGAGTTACAATCTAAGATTGTAATCTTAGATTATAGCTTGTGAGTGCAGGGACTGCAGTGTGTGTTGCCTGCTGAGGTTTTTGTTTTGGTCTTCTTGCTAGGAGAAGTCTCCGAGGCTGCGTATTCAGGTCCAGTCCATCGTGGAGGCAGTGAGAGCAGACAGGAGGAGTCGTTCCAGGACTAGTGACAGTGCTATCTTCAACCGCTTTCTGATGCACAAGAGCCAGACAGCACAGCCGATCCAGGAAGGTAATACCCCTGCCTTGGCAGTGGCTCCTCACCTAGTATTTCCTCACCAAGGAAATGCCAGACTTGCCTAACTTGGGAATGGGGAGAGCACAACAGTGGGCAGCTGGGACCCAGCTTCAACGCCAATCACTCCACTATTGTGTGGCAATTCCCTGAACAGGGCTATTATATTCACCTGTTGTGTCTTTGGAAACCCTAAAGGGAGGATTAAGTCACTTAAAGTTTTTTCTTTAGCCTAAAGAAAGAAGAATTGAAGGGTTTCCTCAGTGGGTCCAACCTAGGGCGGGAATGATGAGCTGACCTTCAAAGTCCCTTCCAGATGTTTTACTGAAGTATTCTGGAAGTTGGACTCATTCTCCTCACACTTGAACAGGTTCCTGCTGTGTGCTTTCTGCCACCTAGGCAGAAAATCCTAGATGGGAGCCACTTCCTCCAGTTAGCACCAAGCACTAGCTGTATCTCAGCAGGGGTTATTTGTATCCTGCAGTCCTAGAGAGGGGCAAGGAGAACAAGAGACCACTCACTGTCTAACCATTTTCTTGTGCTCCTGGGCAGTGGATGACTTGTGGCAAAGTCCCTTGACTATGGAAGACCTGATCTGCTACAGCTTCCAGGTAGCACGTGGCATGGAGTTCCTGGCATCCCGAAAGGTGAGCTCACCATTTCCCCTGCTCCTTTCTTCTTTTGTGTGTGCCTGACTAGAAAAGGCCTGGTGTGGTCCGTCCCTGTAATCACAGAGCCTCTCCCATGAATAGCCAGGCTCTTTGACTGGCTGTGTCCCAGTCTCTAGCATTGCGGGGTGAACTTGTTTTGTGATTTGTCTCTGTAAATCCTTGCACCTAGGGGGACTGCCTGCAGCCACTTTACAGGGGACAAACAGAAAGATTCAGTGATCTGCCTCATGCCCCTCAAGAAGTCTCAGGCAGTGCAGAGAGGGGAACTTAGTCCTCTTGCATTTCATTTTCTCCTTAATTATCTCCTTTTAATTTTTTTGTCTTGAGCACCTCCCTGTTTCCTCTATTCCCCTATTACAGCTCAGACTGGCAAGGGAAGGATAGGGGTGGGGGGTGCTTTGCTCTTTATGATGGTGGTTCCTGTCCCTCTGATTTTTCCTCTTCTTCTTTGTGTGCCTTCAGTGCATCCACAGAGACCTGGCAGCTCGCAATATCCTGCTGTCAGAGAACAACGTGGTAAAAATCTGTGACTTTGGCCTGGCCCGGGACATCTACAAGGACCCCGACTACGTCAGGAAGGGCAGTGTGAGTGCCATTACTATACCTCTGCTGTGGTGTTCATAAACTACTCTGGGGTAGAATAAACTGAGGAAAAGATAAAAAGGGAGAAGTGGAACTTGTGTGGCTGGGACCAGGGACCATTGGCCCGGTGATGGAGGTGCAGTCCTCCACCACCACCAGACTTCTGTCTCCTTCCTTCTGCCCCTCAGCCCTCCAGCACTATTCTATCTTTATACTCTTTCAGTGTCTTTTTCTCTCCCTCTGGCCTACATAAGCCTCCAGTCCTCCATCGAGGGAGGCTCAGGGCTATTGGATCTGGTTCCTGAATGAGCAATTGTGCCCCTTGTCTCCCTCCTGCAGGCTCGCCTCCCCCTGAAGTGGATGGCTCCAGAAAGCATCTTCGACAAGGTCTACACTACCCAGAGTGATGTCTGGTCCTTTGGGGTCCTCCTCTGGGAGATCTTCTCGCTAGGTGAGTGCTAATGAGGGCCACGTGCTGCTGAGGGAGGCAGGACCTTCCTCCCACATAGCACCTTGGTGGGTCAGTCTGTGCAGGAGCTTCTGTCACTCTGCAGCATGTCTGAGGAGTGATGGGGAAGACATCGGTGTGGGTAAATGAAATATGAAGGTCATAACTGTGAACAGGGTGACGGGAGGCAGCCTCCTCCCCGCTGAGGCAGAGGGGCCTGTCTCAAGCAGCATCAAAGACGTGGGCTGCGCATGAGAAGTGACCACAGCTCCCGTGTGTTTTGGGAGGAAGGAAACAGTCCGTCTTAGGACAAAGACTGTTTTCTCTTGGCACGCTTCATGTCCCCGCTTCTCACCCCTCTTCAAACCTCCTTTAGGGGCATCTCCGTACCCTGGAGTCCAGATCAACGAGGAGTTCTGCCAGAGGCTCAAAGATGGTACCAGGATGAGAGCCCCAGAGTACGCCACAGCAGAAATGTGAGTCAGACACCCCATGGATCCCAGCGGAGGGCAGGGCAGGCCCCTTTGTGGGATGCAGAGATCTTTCAGCCAGGGTTTGAGCCCTTTTCTCTTGGGTTTGAATGCAGGACAGAGCTATTTAGGAACACCAAGCCCCTTGCATACCCACACTGGGATGGTTCTGTAAGCGGACAATGTGCTTTGTCCGGATGGTATCTGAGGTGTAACCAAGCTGGCTCTGAGCTAACAGTTATATTCAACACAAAATGATCCAGCCCCATTGCAGCCCCCTTCCTGTATGTCCATGGCACAAAATGTGCTGGGTACCGAGCTTTTCTTCACACTGCCAGCAGGCACCACATGGGTAGGAGCTGCGGGGCCGGGTAGGAGGGGATTTCTGTGGTGTAAGACCAGTGTTTCTTCTCGGCAGTTACCGTATCATGCTGAGCTGCTGGCATGGTGATCCCAAGGAGAGACCAACTTTCTCCGACCTGGTGGAGATCCTGGGGAACCTTCTTCAGGAAAACGTCCAGCAGGTGAAAATCTCTCTGTGTCCCTGTACAGCTCCAGACTGCTAGCTCCCCCCCTGTGCCCTCCTCTGACGCCCCAGACGATGCAAAGCCTTTGCATAGGCCAGGGGATGAGGCAGTGTTTCCTGGATCAGACAAGTCTGTCCCCCGGGGGTACTGGAGACAGGATTTCTGCAGTAGCCTTCTCACTGAATCCTAAAATAGCCCCACTCCTTGCAGGGCGGGTGCCCTCTCAGTCGTCATTCCAGCATTTCCATCCTAATCCCCAGATGATTATTTGAAATTTTTCAGCTGACTCAAGGCCCTGGCACTCCTGCCTCCCACATGACTGCATAATGAAAACCGGGACTTCACCAAGGTTTCTGAAACTCTATCTTCAGATCTAAATGTCAGGGCCATGTGAACTAAACAACTGTTCCATTACAGCAGTCAGATATCCACAGTTCTCTGAAACTATTACTAATCACTGCCATGCAGTAACTCACCAGCACTTTTAACTGCAAGGAATGTGCAGCTCTGCTATTAACTTCTTCTTGATGTTATCAGAAGTTATCTGAAGATGAGAGCTAAATGCTTAAAAACGAGTACTGACCTATCCTGCCCCTCTGATTTGAGCCTTTCAGCACTGGATCCCAGCACAGGCATGACTAAGTCACAGTGCTTTGTCCATGTAGGCTGGAGAAGTGTAGGTGCCACTGGACTGTGTTGTTTTCCTGCTCACACACACACCTCCGTGGACCTGCAGCACTCACAGCCACATAACTCAGTGGGCACAGAAATCTCCAGGCAGATATTTTGTCTGAGAGGAAACAAAAGACATAAAATAGGCATGTTCTTCCCCAGCTCTGATAGTTTCTATTTGTAGAGCCCTTTCTAGCAGGAAAGGCCTCCCCTTCTTGTGAAGCCACTCACTGTTCTTCCCCCCAGGAAGGGAAGGATTACATCCCACTGAACGACTCTCACAGCTCCGAAGATGATGGTTTCTGCCAGGTGCCTTCCTCTGCCCAACAAAACTCAGACGAAGAGGACTTTGACATGAGGATACGTTGCCACAGCTTAGCAGCAAGGTGAGCCCCTGAAAAGGGCTGAGGGAGGCCAGCGGGCAGCCAGTGACCAGAGCTGTAAGGAAGCTTGAGGGATATGAGGAGAACCCAGTAGTGAGAGGTTGGAAAAATCTGGGGTGATCAGGTGTGATCCAAGCACTTAGGCCATGGTATCTTGCTCATAAAAACAAAATCACCTTCCTTTGCTGAGGAACAAGAGTCACCAGTGTCTGAGGCTGACATTCCTCCTCTTGCTTTGAACTACAGAGCATCACATCCTACCTGCCAAAGGCATCCCAGCCCATCAGGTAGATGAGGAAAGAAGGTGTCAGATGAGTCTCTGCCCTTCTGTTATTATCCTAACCAGTCTGTTCCTAACTAATCCAGACAGTTAGGCCTAGGCTTCCTATCTCCAGGGAGCTGTGATGGTTTTCACCTGAGATCTATGTGGCATTACTCTGCTTATCCAGAGTGGAGAGGTAATCAGTGCCTGATGCAGTCAGGAAGTCTGGGTACTCCCTACTGTATAAGGAGGGGGACAAGAGGCCTAAGGTGACCATATTCTCCTCCAAAAACACACCATTTGGGTCATTTACCTCCCTGCATACTTTGGTTGCAGGGAGAGGAAGTTGAATTCAGCTCCTGTTTGTTCAGGACGTTGGCTCTGTTGGTTTTACTGAATACTGTACGCTTCTGTTGGCAGATATTACAACTGTGTCTCGTTCCCTGGTTGTTTGACGGGAGGAAATCAGATCAGGTGTCCATCCAGGATAAAGACATTTGAAGAGTTTCCCATGACACACACAATGTACAAGGCACACCCGGTGAGTAGCACCTGAGTGGGGTTGAGCAGAGGGGCAAAGAAAGGTTCAGCTGTTTCCTTACACATTCGCTTTTAAGATCATGGAAGGAAAATCACTTCTATCTAATGTCAGTCTGTCTGCGTCATTCCTGTTCAGTCTGTCCAGCCCTATGCACATTCATTTCTCCACCTGGCACATAGGGCTTTTTCAATAGCACAGATCCTACTCTCTGTGAAATAGGGAGGCTTAGATCTGCAAGCAAGGACTACAAAGAATCTCAGAGAAGAGCCTGCTCTTCACCCTTCTCAGATCTGTAATCACAGCCTGGTTAAGCAGACTGAAATCCAACCATGACTAGAGAAATTCAGGGTGCTTGTCTGCACCTGGAGCTCCCCTATCCTGATTTACACAGCAGTGTGCAGTAGGAGCCCTCCTGGCCTCTGTGAACTGGTCTGCTACTTACATCTCCTGTGGCTGCAAAACTTAAATCATACCATTAATCTCACCTCTCACTGGTTTCATGGTAATGCATCTTCCAGGCAGGGAGCAATCTTTTTTTTTTTTTTTTTTACTCTAAAAGTAGCATTGAATTTCCCACACAAATCCTACATTTGAACGTGTGGCTTAAAAGCACCTAAGAAGTCACCTAAGAATATCACCAGCATGCTCCTTGGTCTTTCTGGAAGTAAAATGCACCCACTCCTTTTTCTCATCACAGATACACATGATCTCATCTCCCAAACGATTCCTCCTCCCTTCCCAGTTTGACCAGTTGACAGGGATGTTACTGATAACTCCTGTTGCTTCCTTCCAGGACAATCAGACAGACAGTGGGATGGTTCTGGCATCTGAGGAATTTGAGAGGATAGAAAACCGACACAGAAAAGAAGGTGGATTCAGGTACTCCTTAAGTCTAGCCACTCAGATCTCCCTGCTGCCAAATGCCCTGAGACAAGAAGGAGCTTTTGGCAGCTCTCTGTAGGGTATGCCTCGTGGGGCTCTCCGCAGCAGCAGAGCTGTGGGCTCTGAGCCAGAGAAGTCCATGCACACATTAACAAGAGGCAAAGTGCACCAATAACAGACCTGCCTGCTGCTTCTTAGGTTTTAAAAATATAAACTATGCCTTCAACAGACCAAAACAGGTTCCATAAGGCATGAGACTAAGATGATGAAGCACAGTGGCATGACAGTGTTATCAGGGCTCTTTATTTTGCCAGTAATAATTGGCATTTTCTGGTGAAGTGTATCAGGGCTTCTTGAAGCAGTGGCAGGTGGGGTGGACTGAAACTTCGTGGCTGCCACCTCCTTGGGGTTCACCCCAGCCCTGCCAAGTTTCCTTCAGCCCTGACCCGTGTGCTACAGGGCCCTGATGGCATGGCAGGGATGGTCCAGGCCTTAGGACCGTGCTGGTACTGAGGCTGGCAGGTCAAGCTGGTGCTCTCAGGGCTGAGGATGTTACGGGTGGTTATGTCCTTGCCCCACGCTTGGAGCCTGAGTGAGAACATGCCCTGCTCATCTCTGCTCGGTGCCAGAGCAGGCTGAGACCTTATCTCTGTGACTGGATTGAGTGAGCCATGTCAGCACATGCATAGACAAGGCCAGTCCCAAGCCTTTTCCTCTCCTCCTCTCCCTCCCAACATCAGACCAGGCTGGTCATTGTCCTTGCCCTTAGCCATAGTCCTGTGGCCTCTCTGCTGCTGTATCAGACTGTCTCCTGCTTCTTGTCCTTGTCCTCTTTTCCCTAAGGCACCTTCCTGTTGTCTCCTACACCACGGGCTTCCTGAGGGCCCATCCCCTAGCAAACACTGCCCTTAAACCTCCCCTTGAGTGTGTCCCTTCCTTCACTCTTGTGACCTCTTGTCAGTCACCTGGTGTTGGCAGGCGCAGAGGTGTGGTTGCTGCTTTCCTCCCACATCCTCTTCGTTGTCTTCCTTTGTTTCTTTTGCCCCATCCTAGCTGTTGGCATATATCAGCTTCTCTTACTCCTGCCAGGCCTAGGAGCAATTGAGGTAATGTCTCTTGCCTCTCCCTGCTCGTTGGGGTCCCAACCCTTCCCTGGGCTTCCCTGAGCTATCTAGAGGAGGTGAAATAACTGTGGTTGGGTTACATGCAGGGTTTTTACAACGCGTATGGGCTGTGCTGAAGTTTAGAGCAAGACCTGGTGGTGTGCTTTGAAGTGAAGGTGTGTGTCCGTTTCTGACCCCACTGCTGCCCCATGTATTAACAGATGATATTTCCTGAACCTGGGATCTCTCTAAGCTGGACAGAGGCTTTCCCAGAGTGCTCAGACTGACCGCCTTTGTCTCTCTCCCTCGCAGCAGTAAAGGGCCCAGCCGAACTGCAGAGCTGCCGGGGGAACAGTCAGACCTGCGGGGCAGATGTCGGCCGTTGTACGGGTCCCAGGTCGGAGGCCAGACTTTTTACAACAGTGAATACGGGGAGCTGTCAGAACACTCTGAGGATGGCAGCTGCACCCCGCCTGGAGAAGGGGCCAGTCCCCCTGCTCTCCACGCTTCCTTCTTCTCCGAGCAGTACTAACGGCATCAGGCCCCGGAGACGCCCTGCTGAGGCATCCCCTTCCACCCTCCAGGCACATCATCGGGGTCACTCAGAGCTTCCCCTCCAACCTACACCCAGCCCCAGCAGGGAACCCACCCAAAACCAGCTGGGGAACACTGATGTCCTTGGAACCGCAGCTTGACGGCCCACGCAGCACCTCCAGCTGCAACTTCTCTGTGCCGGAACTGGAGAGAGCACCTTGCTGATTCCTCGGGTTTCTTTTCTTATTTCTGTGGCTCAGACAGATGCATTCTCCTGGCGAGTGGGTGCCTGTGTTCAGCACTACAGCACCTTCTGCCTAGCATCCAGCCTCCGCTCAGATCAGCTTCCCATTCAGAAAGCCCATTTCAGGTCAGATATAAATAGATCTGCCTTAGTCTCGAGTTTCTTCCTGGTGTGCAGCCTGAATGTTTTTCCTTGGATTGCTTCCTCCTCCTCTCCTCATGATGTCAGCTGCTGAGTCGCAGAGCAGAATCAAAGGGAAGAAATCCCTAGAGGTGTTAGCGGCAAGAGCAGGACGTTTTGAAGAGGGGTACAGAGAGATCCCATGGGATCTTTGTAAATGTTCGTGCACGCTGTTCACTCTGGGGAGGCACCAGCGTACACCCAGCCTCTAGATCCTCTGCAAGCAACACCCACACCCCTCTCATTTCTGCTGCTGGCGACCTGTCAATCTGCCTTACCACTGGGTTTTTTCAGCCATCTCAACACAGCCAGTGCTGAGTAGGTCACCAGCTGATGGCTGGAGGCCTCCCAGTGAGATAAATAGCCACTCTCTGTGCAGGCGCTGTGTGAGATGGGGTTTTATATTCTCTGTGCCGAGAGCGGGTTGCTCACAGGTCTCCTTCTCTTGCCTTCCCCTTCTAGAGCAGCGCTGAAATCATTTGTTGCTCGAGTGAGAAATTAAAGCAAAGCTGTGTTAATTTCAGCTGGCTTCTAAACATAGAGCGAAAACGGGTTGTTTGCTGAAAGGAAAAGCATGTAAGTGGTAGGGAGTGAAATGTTTATTTTCAAGTTGCTGCAAGGGGTTTTGAAACAATGGCAGGAACACGGCTCCAGCAACGCGGTGCTCTGGGCTGCATCTCCTCGTGTGCTGGCATCGCTGAGCACCAGAGGGCAGTGCCTGGCCAGGGCCCAAGCCCTAACCCTTCTGGATGGACAGTTCTGCACCATGACCTTCCCTGCCACCCTGGTTCCCTGGCTCTATGGAGACACCATGGGCTCCTCTCCAGTTTCCATTGCAGAGCCACCAGCACAGCGTACCTGCCTCTGGAGGACTGACAAACATTTATTTACTGAGGAAGCATCTCATCACTCGGGCCCTTTATTTCTGAAAGATGCCACATGAATCAGAGCTCTGGGGAACCTCCACAGCCCCTCTCAACAGATTTCTGTGCTGCTGCCTCACTACTTTCCACCTACTTCTTTCCATCCTGCTCATAATGCAAGAGCTCAGCCACAGAGCACGGTTACATCACCACCCGGAGTCTGGGCGAAGAGGCTCGGCTGAACAGCTTGTCATCTTCCCTTCTCCCACACGCCAGGGGCTGGCAGAGCTCCTTGCACCAGGGCATCTCAGCACCGGGGAGTTTCTGCCTGCAGGCCACACCTCTGTGCATATAGGCAAGGGTTTGGACTTCTAAAAATTGTGTTTCCTGCCAGACACACTGTTTTCCCAAAATGTACTTCTCTTACAGCAGAAGGTATTTCCTGACATGAGCCTGTGAGTCCTTATGGATGACTTTCCCAAGTCTTAATTATAGTTGTCTGCACAAGTGTAATGGGGAAAATTTATTTAGCACATGGGAAAAGCATGGCTGTCATTCAGATTCCCTAAGCCTGTGCAGAGCACCCGATGTTCCCCTCCCATTTCATGTCAGCAGGATGATATGGCTGTGATTTCCATGCAAAAAGAGGCACAAAACTGGACCAGCTTGAGCCAAGCTGGCTCAGGACAAGGAATTGGAAACTGCATGTGACAATTAATTCCCTGATTTCTACTGGCGTCCCCCGAAGCTGCCAGGAATTTAAGTATCTTTAAGTAATTGTTATGACTCAGTAAGAATCCTTCTGGCAGGAGATGCTGGAGAGCCAGGCCAGGGAAGCAGGATAGCCAGTGGGGTCTAGGCCAGGCCAAATTCTCCTGCCCTTGTCTTGCCCCGGTGTTTGGATGGGTGTTTTCCTTGACAGAAGGAAGGCTGCCTGTGCCCTGTGCTGCTGGGGGTCTCCCCCGGGATTCACATGGGTGGAAGGTGACAGACAGAGCTGAATTCAGGCTGCTCTCTTGGTAATGTGCAGTGTAGGACCCACATTCTCTTGTTTTCAGTGCTTCACAAACAGTTCTCTGCCTGGAAACACGGCCCCATCTGAGAGAAGGCCCAAGAAAGATGCCTATAAGTTAATTAACAGTTGAAAAACATAATCCCGAAGTAGCTACAAGTGAGGGTTAGAAACGTACTAGCAAAGCCAGGCATTTGCAGAGCACTGTCAGGATTCCTCAGCAGAAATGGGATGGAGGCATCTGAGTGCTCTGGCTGCCTGTCAGCACTCCCAGTAGGCCGGGACAGCTGCACTGGGGCTCTAGGTTCAGCTGTAAATTGCTCACAAGCATCATTGTGGAGAAGGGTTACTTCATTAGAGCTATTGTTAAAGATCCCCTGCTTCACACTGGGGGAAGCACTGAAGTGACATCTGAATTTAAACATTCAAATCATCCAGCCCCACAGAAGTTTATTTTCTCTATTTTATACCATCTTGGAGAGGGGAAAGAATCAGATTGGATTGTATCTGCATCAACAGCCTGGCACGAACAATGTAGCCTTAATACGAGCAAATGCAGGCTCCTCTTTCAGACACTCCTGATGAGGAGGAACAATTGCAGTGTGGGATACTGAAGAGTTGTTGAGACAATTGTACTTTTGCTCTCTTAAAAGTATACTAAAATTAGAGTGTACAAACCTGATACCCTTCCCCACACTCTTGCATTATTTCTGGCGTTATTTTACAGTCTTCAGATAAATGTGAGCATGAAAAGAAGCTGGTTTGTTCTGGTTTTGAGGTGAGAGGCAGCAGTGCTGTCTGTCTTTCCACAGCTACAAGAAGTATTTCAGCTTTTAAAACCCAGGTTCGATATTTGTGCCTGTTCTGTTCACAGTGCACTGTTTCGTTTTGTTCAGGCCTTTTACTGGAACACGTAACTGAAGCTAAGCTATTTATCATCATCCTCTTTTAAAATGACCATTCCCAGTCAACACAGTCTCATTTTTCCCTAGAAAGTGTTGGTGTTGAGAGGACATTCCTCCTTCATGAAAACAAAGTGTTTGGTCCCCTACTTGCAAATACACGTGCGTCTCTGAAGAAAAACCTGTGTATCAAGTAACACTTCATTTATATTGCAATATTTTAACCTGGTACCTGTTGTTGCTACAGCAGCATTCAATGTTTCAGTGGACTGCCTCCAAAGCAAGTAGGTTACAACATGGGTTATGTGTGAGTACAAAAGCGTGGTTTGTGTGAGTGTTTTGTGGGTGAGTGGGTGTTTGCATGCGTGAGTTTCTCCTCCCAGTGAGCGTACGTGAGTCTTCATAACTCCTGTTGAGTCTTGTCTCTGGAAGTTCACGGTTATGTATCAAACCAGTTAGAACACTGCTTTCTTTCCTCTCCTCCTATTGTACTTGTTATCCTTTGTCATTAAGAGTTTTGTTGTAATATCTAAATGTGAAAATGAATAAAGTCATAACTGGCAGCAGTGCCCTGGTTCCTGGAGGCGGCCGCTGCCCACAGGCTCCACTCGGCCCCAGCTCCCAGCGCAGCTCAGGGCAGCCCTGCACGATTAGCACATTTCACTTTATTATTTTTTTAACTTTGGCGTCCCTTTGCATTTCCCACATCCTCAAGGAAACAGCTGGGCCTGGTGGCACTTCCATGCAGGATGAAACTTGGCCCTTTCTCATGACGAAGCCGGATGCGCGCTGCTTCAGCTTGCTGACAGGAGCAGCACCCTCACCTCTCCGCCATCTCTCCCACCCCCTCGCCCACCACCCCAGGGCCCGGTTCCCGACCTCCAGAGGCTTCCCCTCGGCCCTTGTCGCCCTCTTTCACCGCACCGCGGTGGCCCCCCTGGGTCGCCCCCTTCTCCTCAGCGCCCCGGAGCCGCCGCCTGTGGCCGGGTGCTCCCCGGGGAGGCCCCGCAGGTGGCGCCCTCAGCCCGCGGGCCTCGGGACGGCAAAATGGCGGCGGGGCTGAGGGCAAAGGCGGGGGGGGAAGCTTGATCCGCCATAGGACGGGCTGTGGGATGTGGGTTAAGGGAGAGCTGGATGCAACGTAAAGGGGTAACTGGCCATTTCTCGCCCCCAAAATAATGACAGGGGGCAAAGTGCAACCAGGCAGTGCTCCATCTTCACTCACGCGGTGACCTGTGAAGACCTCGGAGCCATTTGGGTGGCAACAAAAGGGGCCCTGTGGCACGGCCGCCAGCACAGGCATGGCTGCTGGGTGCTGTGTCTTAGCGTGAGGACAGCAGGGGACGTGTCCCTGCGGCAGCCACCACAGACAGAGCCAAGGGAAGCTGTGTCCATCTGGAAGGCTTTGGCCAGGCTGCGGGCAGGCGCTGAGAAGCGTTCATGGCCATGCAGTTGTGTGGGGCAGAAACACAGACTGCACAAAACGGGACAAAGCAGAACGCAAAGCAACCCTCTCTTGTGGTTAGAAAAGGGAAGTGGGGAGGCTGAATGTAGAGCTCGTAGTGCTGAAAAATCAAACTACTGTCTGCTCTGCAGGAATGGTGGCTTGGGACCGTGGTATGCACGGAGCAGTATCAGTTTGTCCTGACTCTTGCTCCTCCATGTGGGGTGAAAGGCTTGGTGAAGTGTTGAGGGGTCATTACTGGCCTTTGATTCCTCATCCAGCATTAACCAAGAATGGGGAAAAAAAAAAACGAGAGGAAAAAAAAAAAGCAGAAACAGAATATTCAGCTGATGCTTCAAAAACATTTCCTGGATTGTATTGACATTTCTGTGGAGCTTTTCATAGACAGCATCTCAGCACCACAAGCTACGTGCCTGTAGCAGACCCCGCAGCTCCCCTCTGCTCAGAGATGGACTTGCAAAGCCTCCTGCCTTCCTTGGGAACGACATGGGGCTCTCTGAGGGAAGGCTTAGACCCACAACTGCAGCTAAATGTGATATATAGAATGTGCTTTTAGTGTGTTATCATACATACACGTGACTAGGTGCATCACGAGTGGATAAACCGCAAAACCTTCCCAGAGAACAGTTTGCGAAGATGCTTAGGTTAAGCACAATGCTTATCAGAGGGCCTCGCAGAGCAGCTGGGGAAGTCACCAGGGAGACAGTATCTCAGAAGAACAGCAGCACAGCACAGTTACTCGTTTGGAAATTTAGAAAATACCCAAACCCACAACCCTGCGGTACTTTTCCTTGCCATAAATACCCAGATAATTTGCCTTGCAAAAGCAGAGCAGGCCATCACGCTATTTCACTACTTTTCTGGTCATGAAGAGGCTCAAAGCCTTTGTAAATGAGAGATCGATTCCTCAGGTCCTGCTTTTCAGCATTTCACGTGATTTGCGTTTATTCACATTTCAGTGCTGGTGCGGCCTCCCCATTTCAGCACAGCAAAAAACAAACTCCGTGCTGGGCAAGGGGCCGAGCTGCCCACAGCCCTTCCCACCTCCATCTCCCCCTCCCACCCACGCGTGCTTTTAACCCTCCCCGTGCTTATTTTCGACCGCTCCGAGGCCGGGCAGCGGCTGCTGAGGAGCCGGGGGCAGCCCCCACAGCCCCTCACAGCCCGCGTGACGTCACCCTCCCGTAGCCCCACCCACCCTCCATCTGAGACATGGGAGGGGGCGTGGCTTCCACACGCCCCTCCCCTCGCCCTCGTGGCGCCGGGCGGGGCGTAGCGCGCGTGCGCAGTGCGGCCGGTGCCGGGCTGCAGTCGGGGCGCCGGGCGCGGAGCGGGGCGGGCGCGGAGCGGAGCGGGGCCGGGCAATGGGGCGGCAGCCGCGGGGCCAGCAGCGGGGCGAGCCGCCCCGCCTCACTCACCCGAGACCCTGCCTGCTGAAAGCCGCCTCCTTCTCCTCCTCCTCTTCATCCCCGGTGGCGGAGGCATGAGCGCGGCGCCCTGAGCTGCGGGGCCGGCGGAGCGGGGCTCGCCCCTAACCCCCCCCCCACCCCAAAACAGCCCCCAAATATCCCCTCAGCGCTGCGGGACCCGCCGCCACCTCCCTGGCTCCTCCCATGGCATGAGCCCGCGCTCTCCTCCCCCCCCTCCCGCCGCCTGCTTTCGCTCCGGCTCCCTCCCCGGGCCGGCAGATGGGCTAAGGCGCCTCGTTGCCACCCCCCCCCGTGCCCTACAGGAGCGGGGGGCCCGGCCCCGAGCCAGCCGTGAGGGCCGCTTGGGTTCCCCCTGAGGCGATGATGAAGCCGCGGCGGGGCCGGCGGCCCCCGCCCGGCGGCTCCTCGGTGCTGCTGCTGCTGCTGTGGCACTGCTGGCTGTGGCCGGCCGGAGCCGATAACGCCAGCCAGGCTTATTACACCGCCCTCATCAACGTGACGGTGCTGAGCCCCGAGCGGGGCGGCCCCACGCTGCTCCGCATCGACCGAGGCCGCTACGGGCAGGATTCCCCCAAGGTGGAGGTCAAGGGCCTGCTGGTGGCTCCCGTGCCCATCAACGGAGGTAATGGGCTGAGGGGGGGAGGGGGGAGAGATGGTGGGGGGTTCATGCTGATGCTGGGGGTCCCCCGTGGTCATGGGGGTCCCCCCTGTACTTGGCAGGGGTCCCCAGTGCTGCTGGGGGTCCCCACTGTGCTTATCAGGGGTCCCTGATGGTGCTGGGGGTCCACACTGCTCCTATCGAGGGTCCCCATTGCTGCTGGGGGTCCTCACTGTACTTGTCATGGGTCCCTGATGCTGCTCGGGGGTCACTGATGCTGCTCTGGGGTCCCTGCCTCTGCTGGGGATCCCCACTGCACTTGTCAGGGGTCTCTGATGGTGCTTAGGGGTCCCCGCTGCACCTCTCTGGGGTTCCTGATGCTGCTGGGGGCTCCCATTGCTCCTGTCTGGGGTCCCCGATGCTGCTAGGGGTCCCTACTACTTCTTCCAGGGGTCCATGATGCTGCTCAGGGGTCCCCATTGCTCCTGTCGGGGGTCCCTGATGCTGCCCGGGGGTCACTGCCTCTGCTGGGGTCCCCGCTAGTTCTGCCAGGGGTCCCCGATGCTGCCAGGGGTCCCCACTCCTTGCCAGACCATCTGCTCCCATTTCTGCCCACCTCGGCCTCTTCTCGCTCGTCGGCGAGGCTGTTGGCCTTTGTCTGAGCTTTGCAGACTTTCCTAGACAGCTCTGAGAAAAGAGCAGGGAGAAGTTGCCCACGGGGGAAAAAGAGGAAAAAAAAAAATCCATGATCTGACTTTAATAACAGCTCGACGAAGCATAATGGGTTTAGTCCGAGTAGGCTGGTGGTATGGAGGGATGTAGGGTTTATTTCTAAGCTACAAAGAGTCAGTAGGAGATGGCTCGCAGCATTTGGTTACAGCAGTACCGTGAATTTCAGAGCAGCTGCACGGTGCTCACTGCGATGGATGTGCATCTGGAAGGCCTTAAGCTTTTGCAGCTGCATGGAGTCACAGTTATTGAGTGAACGCTTCTCAAAAATGCTTTTTAAGCTGTCCATCAAGACTGGGAAAGACTGGAGCCATCAGGCTGTTACTCTCAGGTCCAGTCCAAAACGTGCTCAAGTTTATAGTGCTGAACACTGTGTCGTGCTTCCCAGTTTTATTTTTATTAAGTGAAGCCGTTTTCCATTCGTTGTTTTCTGAGAAATGTTAGGTTTTACAGAGAATGCTAGCTTAACCAGATGAGGGTATTATCTTGGTTTTGCTCTGAAAGGAGGCATTCAGTCACGATGATGTGATTTTTAATAGTATCTTATTTTAAAACCCCTTGCTGACACTATCTGAACTGCCATCTTCAAGAAATGGACCGCTTGATGGATCACAGTGGTCCCAACCTGTCTTCTGAGCAGTAAAGCTCTGAATAATGCATTAAATAATATAATCAATTAAAACTAGGCTGCAAGCGGTGAATATTAAGAGGGTTTGTTTTTGTTTTGTCTTTTTTTTTTTCTGAAGCGTCAATAACTACTGTATTATTAAAACCTCCTGAGAATTTACCAAATCTTAAGATCAGGAAAATGTTTTGATGCTTCTTCAGAGCCAAATGCCTCCTGCTAGGCAGCTTCATACCTGCTACTAGTGTATGTGAGCAGGCTGTGCATCTGCACATGCTTGCTGCTTTCATTGAAGCTCTATTTCATTAGCGTTACAAAGTGTTAATTAGAATATATTTAAATAGCACCTTTGTGGGGGCAGAGGGAAGAAACAGATCTTTGAGCAATCCTCCTGCAAAAGGACTTTCATTCATGCTTCAGATCTTACCTTTAGGGATGTTCTCGGTCAGCTCTCACCAGGTAGGCTCTGTCTTTCCTTCATCTGCTGCTTCCTGGTGTACCTCAGATACCCCAAATCGTGCATTAAAGGAGGCTGGGCACCCACCGGTTATTGCAAGAGGTATTTGGGGTGAGGGGCTTAGGGTTAAGGCTGTTGTGTTTTGATACGTGCAGGGCGTCGTTTCTTTTCGTAGCTGCGTTATTTGTCAAGGAAAAACTTTTGATACTGATGACTTTTTAATCTGCTTCCGTAGCTGTTTCTGATCTCTTCCAACACACAGTCTTCGCTAAAGTGAGATTAAAGCACAGAGGGGCTGACAGCTTCTTCACCAGAAGCTAATGGTGAGGGGAGAGCCAAATAACTCAGCACCCTGTAAGGAGTATTTTTATACCTTGCTGCTGAAGTATATGGCGATGAATAATTTCAGTGAGAAAGCACAGCAGGAATCGGGAAACTGCAGGCCTGAATTACTGCAGTTTTGACATGCTGCAGTCATTAAAACTTTGTTGGGGAGGTTCAGTTCTCTCCTTCTGTTTGTCAACAGGAGATAGTTAAAGCAAATGCTGCTGTTGTTGTCTTCCTCTAAAATCCTTCTGAAGTGTTCTGTATAGATGGTTAGATACGAGGCATTTTGTTTTAATTCTGCCAGACACACTTCATGCGGTTTTAAAATATTTCGTGTAGCAGGAAAATCTGGAGTATGTTATGTTCTTAGTTAAGATGTTCTTGAATGCTTAAGAGTCGTGATTTCATTCTTCTGTTTTATTATATCTGGCTTTGATAAGACTGTGCTGTTCTGCTGTCAGTGATTGCTCTAATGCCTTTTTATCAGCCGGTTTATATTGCTGTAGCACTTGTTTGCAAGTTGTTTTTTTTTTTCCTTAATAGCTCTTAATACAAGTAGCTACTGCCAGCCTCTGCAGCTAGAGCAGTAAATGATCTGCTGGATCCCCAGATCTGCATCCTGAGAAGAAAAGCCTGCTGCAACTGTTTGGGGATAGCTTGGCTTTGAAACTGCATTGGAGTCAGGAACTGACCCATTCACAGACCACTGGATTGGGTTATCTGCATTAGAGCTGAAACGTCTCCAAAGCCACATTTCACCTGCTGCATTAAGATCCTTTATTCCTTGCTTGCAGGGAAGTAGATGAATTCACTAGTTCATGAGTTTCCTAGATTAGGGTCAGTGCTCTGCAGCTGAGCGTACACATTTGTAGTAGCACGGCCTGGGATGTTGGGTGTCACACTGTAGTGTTGCTTGTTAACCTGTGTTCTTGAATATGCCCACAATCTGATTATTTTTGAAGTTGTCAGTCCCTTGTGATTACCCATCATTTAAATTTCAGCACAGAACAAATTCAGTCACTTCTATTTCTTTGGCAGAATCTCTTCGGTTCAACCTTGCCATGTCAATACGTGTATCAAAGCACAGCTTCCCTGGACTTTTTATAGACCCTCATATGAAACTGATACTGGCTTTCAAAAGCAGTGCTGCTGTGTAAGTGATAGGGCAGTAATTCCACGGCTGCTTGTAAAAGTGGAGCTTGAGCAGTCCGTCTGTCGCAGCTGGCTGTGGGGTGTGCGTGCAGCACCTGTGTGTGCACATCTCTCCAAGTGCTAAATGCTCGGTACCAGATGAGTTCCTCTTGAGTTTTCATGAGCTCTTCCACCTCTAGATCCCCTTCTTACTTCCCCTAACCTCTTGGTCTTTTGTTGTGACTCAAACGATTGCTTACTGGAAGGCAGTTTTAAACAGCTTCCGGATCTGGGTGCTTGCGGAGTATCAAAAACTGTTCCTCTCATCCTGCACGGGAGCTTAATAGCGAAGTGCATCCTAACAGCCAAATAAACACAGCTTTTCTGACAGCGTGGGTCAGGATGTGTCAGTAAGGTTACTGAGCACTTCTCATTCAGTCCCTTATTTGGTTATTTTTGTGGTAAATGAGATATTTCACCCAAAACTCTCACCTTAAGTGCATGCGTGGGCGTTCTGCCTGCTGTTTGCACGGGGCCTGGCCAGGGCCTTCCTCTCACTATCTCGAGCTGAGCCAGGGGTCATGGAAAACTGCCTTTGATTCTGGGTAGAAACTGCTGCGCTTTGTGGATTAGCTCTCTCAGAAATGTTCGCCGTGCTTAGGGCTCTCCTGCTCTGATTTCTCTGGGTGTAGATGGGAAGCTGGGGGCTTGGGTGTGATGGTGGGAGACAAGGTTTGTTGGGTGCTGGGTGCGGAGGCCAGGGGGTCACAGGGGTGGGACTGATGGAAATGAAATGGTGGCAGGGGATGGGAGATGGGTGGGTGATGCTCTGTGAGAGCTCCTGGGCCCTGGTTCATGTTCCCAGGGACAGGAACAGCGCTTTAGAAAGGAGAAAAAAACACCTTAGGAAAAGGTGGAGGTAGGGAACAAATGGTGGCATGAGGGCAGGGTTGGAGGTATGTATAGCTTGTTTGTGGTACTATAGCATTCGGTAGCATTGACGCTTTATAAATGTGTGATGTGAACAGGGTTTAGCTGCAGAAGGTCTAAAATGACACTTTGCTGGTGACTGCAGAGCTTTCGGTGATATCCAGGCTGAAGTGCGTGTTCCCTCCTGCCCGGAATACCAAACATCAGGCCGTAAGGAAACAGAACGAGCAAATGCATCAAGAAGCGTGGATTTGTGGAGGGAAAAGTGTGTGCTGTGCATGCATCCTTTACCACGCATCTCAGTATCCAGCTTAATTAGTAGTCATTAACTGATAAGAAAAGTGGTCTTTATATTGCAGTTTATAGCTGCAATTGTAGTATACTTACTGAGCTAACGAGATTAAATCTTAACTATTACAGGACTTCACTGACTTTCCTTTGTTTAACTTCTTCCCTGAAACCAGATTGCCTCCTGTGCAAAGAGTTTCTCCTGGTGGTAAAGCCAACTTTAGTCAAAGCAATTGCCTGAAATAACTCTTGAAAATAAAATGCTGCCACGTGTAACTCATTAATGCAACTTCTTAAAAGCAGGAATTATAACTGGCTTGAGTAAGGGCTATACTGATAATAACACAAGTACCAATGTATTGGAGAAAATGTGTGTTACAGGTGTGCTATTAAGCCGTAATTGGATAGCAAGTACGAGGAGCCTTCCTTCAAATAGGAAAGAATCAATGCTGCTGTGCTGCTCTTACAAATTTCCCAGCTGAATTCCCTTTCTGGAAACTTTATCCTTTTTGTTTATCAGGAACGTAATCGTGTTGCACGGGTCTGTTCCCCAGTCAGGTGCCCTGCGTGGGATTGCATCTTCTGCAGGCTGCCTTCTTTCCCAGGGAGTCTTCGGATGTGCTCCCCCCAGATATCGATGGTGCCTCTCCACCTATTGTATTACAGTGACTGAAGGTCAGACTGTGAAACAATTTCTGTACGTGTAGCTGAGACCAGCTCTGGCGACTGATGCTGGCCTGGGAGAACAGAGCGTTAGCTGAGATGCAATCAAGGTACCTGACCATTTTAAAAAAAAAAAATTGAATTAAAAAAAAAAGCATGATATAAAATAGTTAATGCTCAAGATGCCCTGTGGAAAGGGAGCAAAGTCTTGATAACAGACACCAGCACAATAATGGCCTTTCTTTTTGAAGTGGGCCATCACAGCTGTGCGCTGGGCAGTGCAAGAGCAGCATGAACACCCCATACAGGAGGGAAAGCAAACCCAGGCAGGGTTCAGAGGTAGAAGAGAGCAGAGTCTGCATTCAGGCAGGTGTGTACTTAGCTCTGACGAAGCCTTTATTGCCTCTGACAGCTGACCTGTTAATTTCATTTTGGCTACCACAAAATGGGCTGTTCCCCGTAGAGAAGGAAGCTGAAGGACCTGGTGAGCAATTGGGAAAGATGAGGAGGAAAGCACTGTTGCTGTTCGGGTGTAAGCTTCAGTCAACTTCAGCAGCTGAGGAAGCCTGGTTGGATCTATTGCGATATCAACTTTTTTCACACGAATCCCTGAAGTGCTGTCACAAATAGTACAGTGGGAAGGGCTCTTGAACTTTAAAAAATAAAAAAAAAAAAAAAATTAAGGAGAAACGATTATATGCAAGTTGAGCAGCCTTGTGTGTTGTGCAAGAGGAAATTGAAGCTCTCCTAAAGCTGGAACAAACGTGCAGCCGGACTTGTGGGTACCGAAATCCCAGCTGATTCTTCTGTAAAGAGGCTCCTCGGTGGTGGTGGGGCTTACATTACAGTAGGAAGGGAGGTATTTACAAGAAAATTGAACATTGCTCTTTAACCCAGCAGGTTACCACTTTTAACAGAAAATTATCTCTTTGCCAACATGTTCTTGGTACATAGGCAGACACAAAGAAAGGAAAGGCGGAGTAAATAACTTATATTTCAAATTAGCTAGAACAGCAGCATGCCTATAAGCATACAGGAAGCAGTTTTCCTACTTCTTCTGCAATTATAATGTTGCATGAGTGACTTCTGATCGTATCTTTTTATGTATGAGCAATTTGTCTTAGAATAACTCTAATTTAATGTGAAGGCGCTTTTCATTCTGGCGTGGACATCATCCAGGTAATATTTGCAAGTCCCAGTCTTCTAGATCCCTACTGGACTTTGGACAACTGAGCGTAGATGACAGGGTAATGGGGAGCTATCAATGAGGATTCCTGCTGACACCGTTCATTTATCTGTCCCTTACAATGCAAATTGATGTGCCTGGCAGGTTAGGTGTACAGCAGATGTTTTATTGTAGCCAGCTGGCTATGGTGGAAGGCTGAGCATGCCTATAAGACTTGGCCTCTTTTTGGAGTGTGTTAAGTGTATTGAAAAAATGAGTAAAAAAAAACAACTAGATTCTTCACTATTGTTCCTGAATTTTATTTGGTTAAAAGCAAACAGTTTACTTAACATCCGTGTGATGTAAATAGGATGCTAATGTAAAGAAAAGTGGGTTATAACTTTGCGTTAAATCTCAAGTGACTTGTCGTTCCTCTCTTCAGGTTTATAAAAACAAGATTTTTAGTAACGTTTTTGTTGCTTGGTGCTAAAGTAATATTGTCAGTTAAATCTTCATCAGGACATACCGAATCACCTCATCAGTGGTAACATGCTGTTTGTGTATGTCTGGAAAACTCATATGTTGGGCTATCCTGGATCCTAATCCTGTTGGTCCAGTAACATTTTGTAGCTCTGTCCACAGCTTTGATCTCTACTGTAGTAGAAAATGTGTGCTACATTTCCCACAGATGCTGTTTTTATCTCTTACTGCTTTCCCTGTCAGTGTTTCAATTTGTGTGGCTTGAAATTTGGAGTTTAGAGGTGCCTACATAAGCTTTATAAACCCGGATTGTACAACAGGCTTCTCAGAATGCCACCTCCTTTTTCCAGATGCCTTTTCCCTTTTATCGCTTTTGATTTTCCACTCTAGTTAATAACCCATAATCTAGATTTTGGGACCATTTTTGTTACCACTCTGAATTTTAGCTTTGACTGCACTGAAGCCATCACGTTCAGTCCATGTGCATAATCCGTAGGGTTCCTGCTCTTCCTTCATGTTTATTACACAATTTCTGGCCGCAGTGTCTGCTTTCAGGGTTAATTTTAGCAGCCTGAGGAGGTTCTGTGGAAGGTGACCACTTACTGAATGGTAGCTATCAAAGGCTGTTTCACACCTGAGAATCTTGAAACTGTTTTCACTGGAGAATAATGTGATTGTTATTTTTTTTTTTTGAGCTTTCAAGGCTTGCAAAACTTCCTGTGGTAGTTTGCTGGTGCTTCCCCCTCTCATTTGTAAGTGGAAATGCTCTGAACGAGTCAGAAGCGTGCATGAAACAGGGAAGGGCTTTTATCTTAACAGAGGTTGGTTGCACATGTGCCATGTTGTGGTTCTGTTGCATTTCTAAAAAGGACTACGATTCCTCTTAAAAAATGCCTTGTTGTCTTGTGTTAAGGACTGCAGTGGTGGTGAGCGTGCACCTGTGATCCTTGCTGTTCCTGGTGCTCCAGAACAACTTTGTGGGATCAGTGCTAGTCAGCAGTTTCCAAAGTAAATAACGTCAGAGTAACGAGGGAAAACACTCTAAAATTTGGCCTCAAGAATCTGTATTTCAGTTCCCTGAACCTAGGGAAAATGCAAACATAAAAACATGAGGGGGGGAACAAAAAACTTAAAAACCCTACAAGTATAAAAATACAGCAGGTAGCCTTCTGTGCCTTAAATGTCTTAATACAGTCCTGAAAACTGATTGTAAGAAATCTTTGCTTATATCTGGCTGCCAACCCTCCTTCAGCAGGGCGGGGAGAGGCCTCTCGTGCCCAGATGAAGAGATGAAACCATTTCCTGTGTGACTGCTGTGATAGAGATTCATCTGCGCTAATTTTCTTGGAGTAAGCAGAGAAAAGCCTGCTTCAGACAAGACTACCGGGCTATTTAAATCCTCTCTGTCAAATGTTTTAACCCAAGCTTTGTTAAGCTGAAAGCACTTAAAAATGCCTTCTGGTTTGTTTCCAGCTAATACCTTAAACTGGATGCTTTCGTGGTAGGCCTCGTGCTGAAATTCCCTAGTCTGAGCTGACGAACTCGCTTCTTTAAAAGGAAATTTTGGGACTCTTCATTTGTATCTCTTAGGAACTGCAACAGTTTTCAGAACTATTATGTAGATAAATTGTTTGTGTATTGAAAAAAACACTCTTTATCCCAACCATTTGTAATAGCCAGAGATGACATGACACTTGACAGGGTAAATACGTGTGTTATAAGTTGCTGTTGGCTCTGAATTTCTAAAAATTCCTTAATAATGCCACCCTTGTGTCAGACTGAAGTGCATGTCTGCACTTGTGCAAACTGAAACACCTTTCATCGGTTTCAGATGCTGCACTGTGAGACCATCTTCCACGTTGCATTTTGTACACCTCGTAAACGGATCCGTGTGGGTTTTGGTTGCTCCAGGATACATTACAGCATCAAAAAGGACAGAAAAAAAAAAATGCTTTGCATACTGTTGAAATTAGATATGTCTGGCCTTTGCCGTTTCTATTACTTTTCCTTTGCAGCATCAATACCTGTTTAGCTAACAACTGGAGTGCGTCGTGTTTGCAAAACCATTTGTTTCCTCGTAAATTTGAATGCGCTTCCCTGTAGACAAAATGTGCACGTGTAAAAAGCCGATGTCGCTGCGGGGTTTTTACAACATCAGCTCTTACTGTCGTCCTCTTTTACAGTAGCCTGCACGCGGCAGATAACTGCTCTGAACCCTCGTGTTCACAGCCTCCTTTGTTTAGTTATACTTTCCACTGCAGTGATGTTTATGACTGCATTAAAACAAAGCAAAAAAAAACACGTTACCCTACCCAGAATGACTAATAAAGAGCTGTTTGGTAAATGCCTATAGCATACGAACCATATTCTAGTGTTTTTCAGCCTGTAGGCAGGTATTGATTCAGATGTAAATTCACTGTTCTAGCTGCACTAGAGTTAAAAATAGCTTGTGTTACTGAGCCTAATTCTTGGGCATATAGTGACAGCTTTCAGCGGTAGAGATTGAGCTTCTAAAGAAGACTTTTTTGCCTTAAGAATGCAATTAGCTTTAGGCATTATTAACCAGAGGGCAGTAGCTTCCTAGTGCATAACAAAAACTAGCTTCAAGTTTTTCTGAATTATTTTTCTTTTTGGATGTTCTAACAAAGTGCTGTTTGTCTAAATGGGTGTCCAATTTCAGTTGCAGATCGCCTGGGCTGTGACCCTCGAACACGTTTCCAAGTTCCACCCAACACCAAGCAGTGGATCGCTTTACTACAGCGAGGAAACTGTACGTTTAGGGAGAAAATACTGCGAGCAGCTTCACATAATGCTACAGCTGTGGTCATTTACAACAATATATCCAGTGAAGAACCTGTCACGATGACTCATCAAGGTAAATAAAATGCAATCTTTCACTATAATTCTTTTTTGCCTGAGTACTCTTTTGCCACATAAACCATTGCTAAAGTGCTCTTGGCAGTACACAGATGATGCTATTTGAAACAGCCTGTTCTCTAATGATGTTTACATGTATGCAATATAGTGAAATAAGCCAATAACTCTGAAAGAAGTTACTTAGCTGTAGTGTACACTTTATCCAATAAGGAACATTTTCTTCTGTAGAGAGGATATGGGTGTTTTGGCTTGAGGAAATAGCTGACTTCAAAGATCTTACAGGTGTTTCAAACCTAGCTGAGATGAGAAGCTAATGTAATATAGCAGCAGGTCTAGCATTCTACAAAGCATGTGCAACAGAAGAATTGTTGCAGTAGCATGTTTCCAACTGGCTGTTTATGGTGGGGACTTCCAAATATTAAGTTATATCAGAATCTGGGTTTGCTTGCGTTTTTATGACAGCTTACAGAGGTTTGTCTTTCTACAATGCATCTTTGTTTATTCTTGTATGGTACTCAACAATTCAGAGAGCAATTGCCGTGTGTTAAGCAGTCTACAATTAGACTATTGCTGGTCTAGAGCAATGCTGAAAGTTGAGGTTTCTACTGACTTCCCTTTTATAAGGTTATCCATGTCCAAGTTTGCTGTTACTAGTGAATAACTACAGCTGGTGGGACTCTCAGACTTTAAAAAATAAAAATAAAATTCCGTGGTTAAAAATGATTTTTTCTCAGTTCTGCTAACTACACTTTTAATTTTTCTAGAAGATGTTCTCACTTTGGAATTATTTAGCTTAATCAGAAAAAGCCTATTTCTGTATTTGATGGCTGTACCACTGGTAGCTTTTTTATAGAGGTTTTCATTTCAGTTCTCTTTCTTTAAGCACCAGGGGTTGCTTAGAAACTGGAATTTCCTAGTTATTTCTCTGCATATTGTCACAATTAGAATGGAATTCTTCTACTAAAGTGCTATGGTTGCTTCTCCCCTTCTCCTCACTAGACATCGCTTAATGGAAATGTCTTGTGACATCTTCTGATTTAGTGGAGTCTGACCTTCCCAATTCTGTACACCACAGAAATTTTCCAGGGAAATTTAGACCTGCGTATAGCAATCCTAAGCCTGTTGAAGCTGTTTTTCTTAGGTACCCTTCCTTAGATGCTTCTGCAACTAATCTGCAGGCAAAAAGCCCAATGTTATAGCAAAATAATATAATAATATTTATTATCTGCTATAATAAAGAGGAGTGCCACTCCACGGTTCTTGTTTTGATTGTTCTGATAATGTCAGAGGTCTGTTTAGCAATCTGTGTTTTGCTGGGCTTCCCTTAAATAGCTTCCTGTTTGCTCGGGGTAAGAAGTGCAGCTGTGTGTGACTGGGAGATGCAGACTGGTCCTTTGGTGTTAACTTCAGCATGGTGAAGGTTTGGCATCCACCATTCCATTAACCCCATGATTGCTATGCCAAGCACAGTGTCAATTCATGAACCTGTGCTGGAACAATGAGTCTGTCCAAACAAATGTTGTGCAGAGTACTGACACGCAGTCGTGGCCTTCTCAGATCTTCCTTCTTCTGTTTTATCAGTCTTATCACTGATGTATGTATGCTTTTGAGGTGGTGAATGACAACATCATCTGTCAACCGGGTATGCTAGCGTGCTACACCTCTTCTCTTTAGCATTTTCTGTTCCTGAAGGTCAGGAGGAGTTGACCATGTGTATTCTGCTGCTCTTGAAGTTAAGTGTGTTAAATTAAATTGATATAAAATGAAGGTCAGCCAACAAGCTTGTCTGATTTCCATACAATGACTAGTGCTGTTCTGCTGTTCTTTAAAACATGCATTCTTCACAGTGCCCTTTTGTAAGAGTCTTTAGGCAGTCGTGAACCTGGTCATCACATTTCCCTTGTACAACCAGGTAGAAATAGGCTTTATATCTGCACTGTAGTTTTTGTATATTACTTGCACAACCTTAGGACTCTTGTCTGCCTGGTGAAGCAGAGGGGGAAACATCAAGAGCTGATAATGCATACTCTGAGCTGTGCTTTCTTGCCTTGACCTTTACATGAATTTCAGTCACCAGTTTGGCAATGTCTGTGCTAAAAGTAATTAAAACATTACATAGATTTATGCATGTTGCTCATCTTGAACCTGCAGGGGGGTAATTCCCTATTTAAAAAAAAAAAAAAGCTCAGTAAGCAGATCTCACACGTGGAATTAATATTATTTTTTCCAAGTTATTTTATGCTTGAACACACATTTGAAAATTCTGATGTTGTGGAAATTTGTCCGTGCTTAACAGAATATAAATTCCTTCTGGTGGCCACCTAACAGCTGTCACTCTTGAGTCAGTCCTTCATCTCTGCTCATATTAAATGAACAGTTTTTACTGCTAGTATCAAAACTTGATTTTACTTATGTGGTAGTCCAGCCCACTAAGTCTCTGTCCCTTCAACTTCAAGTTAATTTTAAAATAGGTATTGACCTAAAGGAATTGGTGAAACACTTTGTGTACATTTCTGCTAATCTTATTTGCAACATTCTTTTCTATCTACATATTCTCGTATGTATTTCTATGCACATATAGAATAAACATATTTTACATATTCTTGCAGATGTCCTCTATCACCCTAAATGAAGGACATCTTTTCCCAGCATAGGTTATGTTAGACTATGATATCACTGGCAGGAAGGCAGTTTTATGGGTGGTTTTGCTTTCTACTTCTGTTAAAGCAGAACAAATATTGTCTAATGTAAAAAGCCTGTGTGGTGGAGAAAATATTTAGTAGCTGTCTCCTTTATAATCAATTATGGGAATAGGAAGGAAGTGCAGGTAAAACAGCATTTTAGTTCTTTCTATTTTTTTATGTGGTGGAGACGGTCTTATTAAATACAGGATAGTTAGATTTTTATATTGAACTGTCTTAAAATCTAGATTTTTATTTGGGTTTATAGAAAAGAATATGAACCAAAGAAGCCCCTAAAATAAAAACAAGATATTTAGAATTTATGGAACAAATATAAACAAAAATATAAATGAATATTTATCATCAAAATAAAGTTGCTGGGTTCCAAAAAGCAGAATTTATCAGCACTGAAGAAATTTCTTGAAGTACTTAAACAATTTCTAATACAAAACCTTGGTCAGAGAATTTACCTGACGTTGCTAAATCTTTTCAAGCCTTTGGCACAAGTTGCAGACATCAAGATAAATCTTCATTGCTCTTCTGAAGAAGCCATGTGTTATTTTTCTTAGTGTTTTTTTTAATGATGTGTACAGAAGGTGACTTTTTCCTCCTTTAGTGCTGCAGGAGACCTACCCAATACCACTGGCTTCCAAGAACTGTTTTCTTTCAAGTGGAAGATTTCTCATTGCCTTGTGTTTGCTTTTAGAACAAAACATCAGAGACAAACCACTGGCGCAGGAGGCAAGACACGTACTCATTTCAAACTGTGACAAAACCGAATGCATTTTACGTGAATTATTTTAGGTCACTAGGTCAGAGACAGGAGGGGCAGGAAGTCATCGGGAGCTGTTGCCATCTGATGGCTGGTCCCTGGTCTGGGTGGAAGGTGCTGCAGGGCTGGCAGCTGTGTGGTTTGCTGCTTTCCTGGGCTGTGCCACCCTTACTGTGTGCTGCAAATCTGTGCTGCTGACCTTTAACTCCCAATCTGCCTCCTGGTGCAACTGCAAGCTACACTGATACACAAAAACCTTGGCAGGGTGATTTGCAGATCATTTTGCCTGAGTGTGCTTAAGAATTACAGTTCTATACCAAATCCACTGCAAAACTTCCCCTGGATTCCTGAGACCTGCTTTAATCCACAGCTCAAAATTGATTTTATTGTGTGCTGCAGTTTTGTTCTTCACTATTAACTTACCTGGAATATTAGTGAAAGGGAAGGAAAGGTGACTCATGGAAGTTGAAGCTTTTAAAAAGAGGAAAAACAATCTTCAATAGTCTGACCATAGTTGGTGTATCTCTGATCATCTTATGTTGTGAATTTGCTTGTTTGCTAATTCAAAATGTTGGGAACGAGTGTCAACAGAGTCATAGCTAATCTGTTTCTCGCTGCATTTCTTGTAGGTATATTCATCAGGAAAGTGTGTCAGGTGGTAGTAAATGGAGTTGTCTGACACGTAGCAGGACGCAGAGAGAAGTGTGTTTGGAGCACGGATTCTGAGCCTTGAGGAAACAATTGTCCCGTAGAGGCAAGCCAGGGAAAACCCTTCACAAAGCTCAACGCTTTGCAGAACTTCCTCTTCCCTGTGTTCCTGCATGTTAGGTACCTCATCCACAGCTGAAATAACAGGAGTTAGGCTCGTTTTTCCTTAGCCAGCTGAAAGGATAATTAGTTCTGTGGCTCTGAGAAGGCCCGTGGGACTGTTAGTGACTGTAAGTAATTACATTTTTTTCTTAGCTAAAGACCATGCTCCCGCTGCAGAGTAATTCCCCAAATCCATGGATTCCGTGGAATCAAACTTACTCATAGATTTACACAATGTGCTTCTAACGAAGTTGTAAAAACACTTTGTAGTGTCCTTGCGTAAGCTTCTGTTACCATGTGTTTTGGGGGCTTTGCTGGATTTGTTTGGAAACACTGTCCAGATTGATGGGTCTGTGCTGAAGTTGTCTGTAGATGGAAGAAAATACCAGACCATGGCAGACTGCTCTCATTAGAAATCCCTGGGTTTCTTAGTTCCACACACACTGGTGGGAATGGAAACTGCTATCCAGAAATGGCAAAACAGAAGCCACCTACCAGCACCTGCTGACGTTACAAAATGCAAGAGTAGAGTTCTAGTTATCAAAATCCAAACACATCTTAAATTGCAAAATGAACGGTAATACGTTACATTACAGTATTACTTTTTAAAAACCAAAAATGTGACACTAATCAGTGTTTAGGTGTTAAATCCAGATCTAAGGTTACAGTTTTTGGACATTGTTCCTGAAGGAAACAGTTTTCAAGTAAGCAGTATCTTCTGCAGGATGTCTTCTG